ACATAGGTTTCTCCTTAGAAAGGAGGTTTTGGCTTACTATACCTCGCTGGTCAGACGGGTTGGTATAGGGTTTGTGTCAAGTTTTCCTTCTCTCGGCAGTGCTGTTGTCCTGCGTAGTTTGTTTCCTTAGTCGCCCTCTTACGACACTCACCTGATGAATGAACGGTGACAGTCTGTATTCCTTATCCGTCACCACACGGATAATGTTTACTTATGCAATATTTTTAAACTACAAAAGAGTCAAAACTAAAATATGTATGAGCAAAGCATTGAGAAAGTAGGGAAATGAAACAAAACACAGTCAATTATAAGCTGATCGGGAACACCACGGGTATATAAACAAAAATATATTATAAATAATTCAAACGTCCTACTCTTCAAGCGTAAATAATAGTAAACAACTACCAAGTGGTAAGGTTAACAAACTTTAATTTAAACAGTGCATAAATTAGATACGATAATACATGTTGTTCGCTTGTAAAGTATAGGTACAGCTACTCGCCCACACAGATGTTAGCAATCAAACTATGCTATTTTAAAAAGGATACAAAAACTGTTACATAAATTAACTTAAAAAAAAGTATCACTGACTTTATGGCTCATGATAAATTCTCATAAACTGTAGTCTTCATTCCTTAATATACTTCCTTTTGGGGAGGTAATTTTTATTAAAAATTCTTACAATTAAAAAAAAAAAGGAGATAAATAAGAATATTCCGAATCGCTTGGATCTTACGATGTTCCGCCAACAGTATTGCAAAAAGTATACCTAGAATGTATGTAGTACACCTAAGAAGGATGCGTCCGAAAACTGCTGTGTGTCTACACATACGTACACTTCACGACCGGATGGCGTGGTGGTTTGTGTAACGGACTGCTATTCCAAAGGTCGCGTGTTCGATTCCCGCTTAAGTCAAACATTTGTGTGCATGAACATTTAATGTTTGATTTAGTCTAGGTGTTTCTATGTATAATATGTATGTATTTACAAAAAAATAGTACATACGAGTAATTATGTATTTGTATCAGTTGTCTGATACCGCTAGTACAAGCTCTGCTTAGTTTGGGACTAGATGTTGTGTGAATGTGGCAAAATATTATTATTATTATATTGTAGAAAAAAGGAAATTGCGACAGGAATTACTTCATTACCTAAGTTTAAGGATTATAAAATTTCCTTTTGACTATAATATCTATATACTAATCAAATCGGACTGGGCGGCTACATACAAAGTGATTTAAAATCAGTCAGTAGGTTGTTTTCGGGCACAATTCCTCTTATCACTGTCACAATTTATTATTTACCTAACGAATAACTTCGTAATTACTAACAAATATAGCGTATTGTTTTGATTATATTTTCGTCTACCCGGGGGCGGGGCAGATAAGTTGATCTAGAAAAAATATGTTTGCTTAAATCAGAGTACCACACATAATCCTTATCACCAAGTCCGTTTGAATCTTTTATGTATAATAAAGTAACATATAAAGGCACGCCATTCTATTAACTTTATCTGTAACAACGGCGAGAGCACAGATATATTCTGAGATTCATGCGAATTCTACGTTAAACCAGTGCGAGAATTAACTCCTATTGTTTTATAGTGTCCTAGTACTTTAACATAAAACAGTGACAATAATTCCCGGTATACATTTTTTGTTTTTCGAAAATGGCTCTCAGTGTATTTTTCAAAGAAGATTTTCAGCAAAAAATCCTGAAACAGATGGAGAATGTTACGTGTGTTGAGTTTCTTGTTGATTATTTCAAAGTAGTTTTAGAAGCTTTCCTTAGAAATTATTTAAGGTAAAGTTATTTATTATAATTATTTTTTGCTTAAATTTTGGAACCGTTCTCACAAGAACGTGTCGCACTTTTTGTTACAAATGATTTTTTTACTAGGTACTAAGGTATTACAAGATGAATTCAAATGTCTAAATAATTTGTATTTATCTTGTTAAATCTATTGTATTTTGATTTTAAATTGAATCTACTAATCTTTTTTATTAGATAAGGATTCCTGCTATTGCCTCATTCTTTACTAACAAAAGTTTGATTTGCAGGTGTTGCTGATTTAATTAAACAAATATTTTTATTAATTAATTTCATTGTATAAATAAGAAACTACTCTGAATACCTTTTTTTTTGTGCGGAAATTCTCTCTGAATACCTAACTAAAGTCTAAGGGTATTGTGTAATTTGTGTGAATATTCATACTAACGATATAGACACAAACAACCGTTTCATAGTAAACTAACTATACTTGAAGATATTGCCCGCTGGTAGTTTTTTCATCATCCAAAATAACAGCACAAAGTTTGATCACAGGTTTGTAGACGAAAAATAATAATAATATAATAATACCTTTTTATTGTATAAATGAGATTGTAGGTTTACACAATTTTACGTTTATTATGATGAGTTTGTGTTACAATTAGAAGTCTACAATAATATCGTGGTTGAGTGCTGTTTTCCCCGCTAGGCTACATAATAGCCTGTGTTAGGGATAATACAGTCCTGAACCCTCAGAAATGGTGGAAACCGGTGTAGCACGTGTTTTAATTTGAGTTGAGAAATTGTGCAATTTATTGTGGTTTTGTGTGTGTGGAACAACGGAACTGCGTATTTGTTTATGCAGTTTAGTAAATAAACTATAGTTAAATATTTACCGTTAACAATTATTTATCTACAACCAGGTCAATGCTTGGTGATAAAGCACTGTGTTCCTTCACTGCTTATAATGATACGTCGTTAAAAAGATATGCGTATGTAATTATGTATGTGATAGTAAACGCAATGAGAATTATGTAAAAAGAAACCGAAAATTTAAATAATCGCGTTGTAGATTAGGAAATAATCGAATAAAAAGATATATTTTCAAATCAGTGTTTCATATGACTGATTTTTTATCTTACATTATACGCTGGTAGCAATTTTTACGTTATTATTTGTCGTCGGTTTTCTAATATTTCTATTAATATTATACTAAAATTACGGTTATTTATTTCTAGATCGTGATCTATGTGTATTTTGTTTTTTTTTTCCTCTCCTCTCCCACACCGCCGTCTGATTCCAAACTAGGTAGAGCCTGTGCATGGTAACCAGACTGCTAATATATTTCTAAATACATACCTGGTATAGATAAATTACTCCCAGACACAGAGCAAATGATCGTGCTCCTCACACAATTATTTGTCCTGTAATCGAACCCGCAATCTCCGGCTTAGCACTCAGGGTCACTAACCGCTACACCAGTAGGTCCGTCGCATGTGTTTAAAGTTTACATAGATCTTTTAGAATTCATCGTTTTCACATAATATTATACCAAAATTAAATGCCAATTCAGGATTAAGGTTTTTTTTCAAAATATTTAAAAATAATTTATTGTGTAAACATAAATATGTACACAACATTAAATGTGTAAATATTATCTCTTTCTGGTTATGTTTGTTTCAATTATTGTTAACAAAAAATAAGAAATTTAATTCATTTTTAAGTTCAATGCTATCATACTAACATATAAAATTACTTTTTCTGACTAACTTGACTAATATATTGAGAGCCAAATTTATACTAAAATAATTTACATAATATCGATACTACTAAACGCCCTGTAGGATCACGGGTACATATTGGTGTTCCGTGGTCCTACCAGTAAATGAAACCGGCGGAACCACAGGCCCTGAATCCCTAAACCGCTGGGGGGTACAAACTTGTAATTTTGGCTGATGCTTTTTGTGTTGTAAGAAGTTACTAAGAAAGGATTTTTGGGCATTTCACCCTTTAAGGGGTAAAATAAGGAATGAATGGTTGTATGGAAGTTCGTCATTTTCAAAGTTATAAACACGCAATAATAATAAAACTGTAATTACTTGGTTTTTGCCCGTAAATACAGTTGAAACCAGCCTTGACCTGAAAAAAAAATAAGATTACAATAATAATATTCTAGCACATTCACACAACGCTATCTAGTCCAAAACTAAGCAGAGCTTGTACTATGACTACTAGACAACTGATATAAATACATATATACTTTTTTTTGGAAATATACATATACTTATTATACATAGAAACACGAATGCATGACTTGAGCAGGAATCGAACCGGCGACCTTTGGAATAGCAGTCCGTTACACAAACCACTACGCCATTCGGTCGTCAACCGAATGGCGAACCAAAATAATATCACAAATAGTTTAACATGTAATGTCGAAAGTATGGCCGTGTTGGTCTCTAGATGCAATTTATCGCCTAACGGGAGTTAATGGATCAAAACTGAAACAGAAAACAAAATTAGGACGCCTTCCGTACTACGAAGGCATCTGATTCCATTTAAACGAACAATGTTCATTAATACCACCACTAGTGAACGCGGATATCAGAGCATCTTGAGCTCATAAGAAAACTAAATCCTCAGGGATCAGCCGCAACCCCCTAAACATCCTTGGTACGAATACAGTTGCTGCCCCATATAGCATTGTACAATGAAGATCCGACTATCTTGTTCACCGAAAGAACATATTAAGGTTGTTTCCTGTGGGGTTCGTTTACATTCTATAGGGTGAATATCTCTCTCTCATAGTGTCACTGTCAAGAAGGAGAGATAACAGACTCTTTATTCACAATCCATATATCTAATCCTTACACGTAATAATTACATAAAAACACAATTATATAATATAATAGTTCTAACCTTTTGGCCAACTTTTGCTTATCTGTGGCATCGTTAATAGTTTTAAAAAAACAGAGTGTTTTGTATATTGTGGCAGAAGTGCGTCATTATTACATAAATTATCTTCATTATACCCGCACTTTGTTGTACTTTTGTTATCTTTGATGTTTTTTTAATCATCTCTTAGTCGCTGCAAAATACAGACAGACATACGAGTACAAAAATTACTCAAATAATTATTATCGCTGGCGAATCAACCGATGTGTTTTTAGATGTTGACAGTTGGCAGATTATAATTTAAGGTTTTTGTAATATGTAATATTGATTACAGACAAGTTCTAGAAGGCGTCCGACACGTCCACAGCAAGTGCATTGTACATCGGGATCTGAAGCCTGAGAACATACTGTTAGATGACCAGCTTAATGTCAAGATTACTGACTTTGGTTTCGCCAAGGTACTCAAAGATGGGGAGAAATTGTTTGGTGAGTAAATTACCTGACTTTAATCTATGAAAATTCCAATAATTTTTATTAGTGTAATTTGTAATTTTTGCGTTGAAGAACATTAATATTACTGTACCTCGTTTGTTTAGGCTGGGTTATCAGGTACGACAATGACTAATAATAGCAAGGGAATACAAAATAAATTTCTCAAGAATTCAGTTCTCTCAAATTTGAATACAGGTTTAAATAAATAACAAAGGACTGTTTTTATTATTCATATAGTATAGTTAATATACATAGGTACGTTTTTTTTTTGGTTTTACTCGTATTTCCTTCTGGAACAGTAATTCTGCCTTGACGATGTGTGTATTAGGACGATAGGTTAAGTGGGTGCCACACTTAGATGTAAGTGCAAAAAACAAAGTCATTTTGGCATCCATTACATTTGTTAAGTTTTATTCGTTAATGTTAAAAAGAATCGTTGTTATAAGTAGTTTACGCAATGCAAAATGCCCTATATTAAATTATCCATAAAATTATAGTATTTTAATGTACGTCAATGTGTAATAACTTCGTTGTTTACTACGGATTCAAGTTCCGTATTTTGTTTAATGTGCCATTATTATTTTTATGTTAAAAGTTATGGTTCCTTGTTCTTGTTTAGGAACTCATCTCATCCATTGTGACTCTTTTAGTGTTCTAAATGAAGTGACATAATCGTAATCATAATTTTCTGATCTTTTCCCAATTTAATTGGCGGTCGGTTAAAAAAGTTTTGGCTAGTTTCTTTTAATGCCGGGAGTCTGATGGCAATTCTTAGTCGTTTACAAAAGAGGCAGTGGAAGAAGGTGAATCATGGTAAGAAAATCCGATAGAACCAGAGAGCTAAGGTGAGGGATTCCATAGGTCTCAAATGCGGCCAGGGTGGCGTCTGTATGTCCGTCTTGTGGTTGGAGACGCAACTCGGTCTGGAACATTAACTGATATCTACACATAGGATGTCAATTTTGGTTTACAGATAGTGGATTTAAATATGGGTGTCTTCATTTGTTAGTTAGTGCTGATTAAAAAATAATTGTGTGTTTGTGTTTATACTTTCGTGACTTGATTACTACACCTTAAGTGTAAAAATTATAAGTAACTGTCCGTGTGGGGACGGATTAAGAATACGGAGTGTGACCACCCCTATTCATCCCGTGGGTATCGTCAGAGCCGACTAAGGGAGCAAACTACGCAGGATAACTGATACACACTGCAAAGAGAAGGATAACTTGATAAGATAGTAGGCCACAATCTAATTTCTAAGTAGAGACCCATGTATAGCAGTGGACTATGCAAGGCTGATGATGTGAAGCCTTACAGTAGTCGCATGATCTGTGACATTTGGCACATTGAACCGCGACCTCATTGGTCAATTCCTGTTTCACACTTCCGTCTGGCCAGCCTAGTATAGTATGCCAAATATTATTATACACTTTAGATACTAACTCGCTTGGACTCGTGATCAAAATCAATTTAATTTCAATTTGGAGACGTTAGGTAACTAACAAAAAATATGTTTTTATTACCACAATTGCACGTGCGATTCAATTGATTGTGATCACGTGTCCAAGCGAGATAATAAGACCATATTAGGTCGCGATTGAACCATCCATAACAGATTGATATGAGTACAGAGCATACCTACTTTAAAAATCAATGATTTACGAAAGGAAAAAACCATTTACCTACAGCGCAAGGTTATCTACGAACTCGAAATCTTAGGTCAATTGATTATCACAGAAGGCAAAGTGCTCACCCTCTTCTTAATAAATGTGATTAATCTTAATTATCCCGAGATTAAAATAGATCGTATTTAATAATATTTGATATGTTTATTATTACAATTGAGTTTACCTGCTACTGTTTGTGATTTAAATAACTCAAACACCGAAAGCGAGATTCCTGAATTTTGTTATTAATTTTTATTACTGTAACGTAAAAAAAATAGTTTATTGCCAAATAGTACATACAAGATTGTGCGTTACGCTGTGACTCCACACTAGGCAAGCCTGTCCTGTGGGTGCTAGATACGATTCTATGTCAAAAGATCTAGAACTCTAAGGAGAAAATAAATAGTGGATGACTTTTGTCTTCAATTCGGCTGTATATTTTATGATTGTTACTCCAGAACTTTGACATTTCAGTTTTTTTTTTGAGTTTGAATGATTTCATGTGGGTTTCGTTACGTCTTATTTATTTTCTTTGCGATATTGCCTGTATAAGTAAGATACACTAGTTGACAAGCTATCGTCACGTAAATGAGTCGGCCACGGTCCGATCGCCACATCTAGCGTTACATCCAGTTCTAAACAATGCACAGTTTCATTTGTTAAACAAAAGCTTTTGTTTGTGCAATCTGCAGAGGTTTCACCGTTATCTGGTTTTGGATCTATACTTTTTGTTATTTCAACTATTAATCTGATCTAAGGTGGGCGGGCGCCGCAGAAATACTTCCCTTCTTTATTAGGTAATTGTTTGGATGGGACACGTGCACTTGTTCATCCAAGTTCCCAGTGCACCAAATTTTGCAACACATTTCAGGGTCAACAACAAAGATAACAATTCAAACTTTTTGGCTTTAAGTTATTAGATTCGATCGAGTGAATATTTATAATATTTTTTATATTTATATTAAATGCTTATTCTTAGTGCAATTGTAAATAAAATAAATAAATTGTGAAAACATGACTGTATCCAGCATATTTGATATCTTAGGTTTTCATGCCGTATAAAGTGGTACTAGTAACGTAAGCAAATTAAATCTAGTGAGATATAACATTAAAAATCCGTTAAATTAAATTTATACGTAATTTAAAAATTACGTGACAGAATAAAATTAGCAGTAATGATCTGAAGTTTTGCACATACAACTAGAAAAAACATGCTTCATTGCCAACTGACGAAAAAACAGTGAAATACGTAGTAATTGCTAATCCTGCATCTCGCAATGAGTTTCGATGAATAAATATATAACTGTAAACTGATTGCACGGATGCCGTAGTGTTTTAAGCGTTCACACCGCCGCTTCCTACTGCTGAGTGTTGTGGGTTTACCCCACATGGGACAATACTTTGTGTCATCCACAAATTGTTGTTCCAAATCTAGGTTTACATGTTTCTAAAGTCTTCGCGACACTAGATATGTTTCTTGGAAAATTTGAAGATATAAATTCCCAACATAGACCGATTGGCCACGGTCTGCCTTACATGATTACCTCACTTATGGTACTGCCAAGGCATATGACACCTGTACTTCTACAAACTTATTATAAGTAAAGTCTCAACCGTGTTGGGATCAGTACTTAAAATCCTTCACATACTTGAAAACAGGTCATCGATTTGTTTACTCTTATTGGCCGCTCTTATCCGTTATAAACCTAGTCTATAACCTTCCTCAATAATTGTTTTGTCTAACGATGAAATGACGTTTAATGTTACTGTTAGGTCTGGGTTTTAACAAGTAATTGAACTAAGTCCTTTGGTATACAATAATTGTATAGAAGATTTTTATTCTCTTTGCAGTGACTCCGTAGTTTGCTCTCTTAGTCTATATTATTTAATATGATATGATCAGTTAATTGGGGTGGTGACACACCGTATTCTTAATTCGTCACCACACGGACATTAATAGTACCTTCTGTTAAAGTCCTTCTATTAGTAATTTTTATTAATACTAGGGAACATGGGGGTTCCTACACAAGAGGGGGTCATCCACCCGTAGATTTCCTTTCTAGGGTACACCTGTTTCTCCGGCTACTGGTACCCAAGACGGCGTCCGGTTTTTAGTAACCGACTAAAAACCGCACCGAGTCCGACATAGCTACCGGTGGGTGGTATCCGAGAGCACAGAAAAACAAAAAAAGGATTATTCACATTATTTATTTAACAGATATGTAAATCAGTAAGATCTTTGTCTGATCAATAAAAAAGTATTCTTTCAATATTTCCAGAGCTGTGTGGTACGCCGGGCTACTTGGCACCGGAAACACTTAAAGCCAATATGTTCGAAGACGCGCCGGGATATGGTCAAGAGGTGGACATGTAAGTAGTCCAGTAACTAATTTCTATATCAGACTCTTTAGACCATAGATTTTTTTTTTTACTTCGTTCTCGTCGTTAACGTCTTCTGCAATTACTACTGAAGTATTGCCACAAACCATTAAAAATATAAGACCATGTTTTTGTGGGAGAAGAGTTACATGAAAACAATAGGAAAAGTACAAATTGTTTTTTTTATACTAGAGGCGGTAAGTGTTGCCACAATGAAGAGAAATGGTCTGATCATTTGATTTTTTGTGATTGACTTAATGGCAAAAACTACTTTTATTCAAACATCTCTAAAATAAAATAACCAAGATCACCAAAAAACATCGTGATTTTTCGTTTCAAAAATGTTTTAGGTTTTCTAATCAATACTTCCATATTTATATAACAAATGTGAAAGTAAATTTGTTTGTTTGTTCTCTTTCATGCCTAAACCACTAGGCCGATTAAAAAAATTCTTTCACCAATTGACAGCTAGATTGTCTGCGAGTAACATAGGTTACTTTTTAACTCGCGTTACCTATATACACGCGGGCGGACCCGCGGACCATAAGCCATTATAATATGATCTGTTTCATTTGGTCTGCTCGTCTGCCCCCTATTCCATAAAAAAATGTGTAAAAAAAATTTACTAGTTTTTACAAATACGGCCATAGACCATTAGGCGTATAGCAACAATTAAGAATATTAAGATTATGTCAAAGACTTTTTGGTTTCTGTTTACAGTTGGGCCTGTGGAGTTATCATGTTCACGCTGTAAGTTATTTTCATTCTAATCTTGAAATCTGCTATATTTGATTCTTGTAACACAATTTAATCCAAATCAACACTGATATCTATTGTAAATATTGGCGTCACGAATTTTAATTGTAATTGATTAGATAAATTGGATGACTGCTTTGATTTGAATTGAATTGTTGATAATTCTATTCCCAGATGAAGGAATTACTTATTTTGTTCTTAATATAAATGTACTTTGCATGTTACTAAAATTCTGTCGTGGTCGCTCACAATGGGCCTTATCGGGAGTTGCAAAGTCACCTAAGGAGCAATGGAGAGGGTAATGTTTCTCTGTGTGATTGAATCAGGAATGAGGAGATCCGCAGATGAACCAAGGTCACTGACATTGACCGGAGAATTGCCAATCTTATGTGGCAGTAGGCAGGACACCTTGCGCTCAGAAAAGACGGCCAATGGGGCCAAAAATCTCTGGAGTGACGACCACGTACCGAAAGCCGGAGCGTGGGTGGTCCTACAAGGTGGTCCGATGACCTGGTGAAGGTCGCAGGGGTCCTAAGGAGTTACAGAACCAGTTGCTGTGGAGAGCCTTGGGGACGCCTATATCCAACAGTGGACGTCTTTCCGCAGAATGCTGATGATGAAAGTTCTGTCATAGCTATAAGTCCCAAAATTGATCACACCTATCCCATTTCATCTTGTATTCTTTACTTTATAGGTTAGTCGGATGTCCACCGTTCTGGCATCGGAAGCAGATGGTGATGCTGCGGAACATCATGGAGGGGAAATATTCCTTTACAAGTCCTGAATGGGCCGATATATCAGGTTAGTTCAAAGCACATGTATGATGCCTTTTTTGTATTAACAGATTTTTTTTATAGTATGGGGTGGCAAACGAGCAGCCTAGTCACCTGATGCTAAGTGACTACCGTCGCTAATGGACAGTAAAAGAATTGCTTAATATCGGGTTTTCTGTGAGGCCGTCGTATGACTCCGATCGAGCCAGGCATGGCTATCCCACCAATAAAAGAATGGCGAAAGCTGACAAGTTGGCAGGCAACACGAGTAGTTTTCCTAACTGTACTCTGACAATTTCTAACTTATAAGTCTTCAGCGTACTTACGCTCTGAGATACACCTTTCATTTATTCGCGTTACCATAGACGATTTTTGCATGTCATAGGAAACTAGTTGTGCCCGCTAATATCCAACATTTTTGCAATACTTACAGAGGATCCCAAAGACCTCATTAGACGACTTCTGGTAGTCGACCCGAATGAAAGGATTGGTATACTTGAATCTCTTAACCATCCCTTCTTCAATGCAATGGTAAGTTACACCTGCGTTCTATGTTATCCTAGTATTTTCTAAACCATCTCTTATTAATTATTATTTGATAGCTTCTTCACGATTTTTTTTTTTACTTTGATTTATTAATTTTATTGTTCTATGCAACCAGTTTTATAGACTAAAATCAAACATCAAATTAATAATACAATAAAGATCGCCTGGTGGTCCAAGTTCGATCGTTTTGAATGGCTTCATTAATATCATGACCAATATAACATGAGCTGTAATTTTATAGACTAGTACAGTGACAGCGTACATAGCTGTATATAGCTCTAGCTGTAGGTACCCTACCACGCTTCGCTGTGGCTCATTGGCTCAAGAGTGGTATTGATGAGAAGTGAGGTACAAGACTGAAGTGCAAATTAGATAAAAACAATCTTTGAATCAGTTTGTACGTAAATTAAAAATTTGATCTCTATTGGTGCAGCACTTTTTCAGTTTTTGAATCGTACACAAACCAACGTAATATTATATATATATATATATATAATTTTAACTTTATAGCACATATAGTTTTAAATTTTTGCATTTGTGCAGTTCTTCTACGAGTACATTAAGTATATCAAATATGATATGCCGTGTGGTATACTTATTTAAAAATTGGTGCAAAGGACTCTCCGCACAATTTTCTTTGTTCAAAAACTGCTTTGAGCTTTGTAGCTTTTTGACTAATAGTCAATCTAGAACTACTAAAGTTTAGAAGTTGCACCAGCAGGAGTGCATGAACCACTGCGAGCTTAACTATCTATCGTGCTTTTAATATGTGTTTCTACTTTAGAATACCGATCATAATAATACTTGCAGCTTTTTTACCTAAAGACTAGAACTATAGGCCATTCGCTTTAAGAAAATAGTGACGCTTCAATCAAGCCCCGCCCCCTGACCAATCAGGTTCCAAGCTTTTGTACGAAACGTTAATTTCTTAGAACCTGATTAGTCAAGGGGCGGGGCTTGCTCGATGCGATGCTTTCTTAACGCGAATGGACTCATGACGGGCCTCAGAAAAGACCGCTTTAGAGTTGTTGCCATATAATAGATTTAAAGATAATATTGCACAGTATTTAATTTATTAAGAAAACAAATACGTAATAGTTTAGTAGGTAGTTAGATTGTAATTTATTAGTTTGATTTTAATATTTAGAAATTGCTCTAGATAAAATTATTATAATTATTTACTAAAATGCTTTATTTAGAACTATTTTCCAATAGTCATTTTTCTCGTATGTGGAAAATAATTTAGTTTCCTTACTAGATATTTGACTTAGTACGGTTTAAATTTAGAATACTGCATGGAACAAGAATTAGGCTTGGACAATATCACAAACATGCATAGTTACTATGAAGTATTCAGCTAGTCCAGTGGTGTTTATGTCTCTGTACATAAAATTGTTTAATACCACAAATTTTATATCAAAAATATCAAGCAATCCAACAAATTTTATCAGACGTTACGTAATTATAATAAGTCATTTGTGCCACTAATGTTGTTATAAAATTCTTTCAACATGACTGAAATCACTAAAATCTAATTTCTCTAGTGACTTTCAACTGTTTAACAAATACAAGACGATATTACGATATCGTTTATTGATTACCTAAATTATGATCACTTAACATTGTAACAAATATGCGATGTTATTAAAAGTTTTTTTTTTTTAAGTTTACGGTCTAACTTTTTTATTAACATATATTTTAATAAGAATTGAATATTGTGCTTTATAATTTATATAATACCTACAACATTCATTCGGTACATACTATACTAGGAACACATAAACCTAAAGCGTTAAAATACGTGACTATTAAACGATCGACACCCAAATGTTAGTGTAGCACCTTTCAGAGTTTGTCGATAGTTGAATAAGTCGTATTGTAAGGATACACAATTTCACAACAAAATTTATGCGCCCCTGGTAGCTGTGGGATCAAGACATGACGCCGCTCAAGAAGACCCTCTCGAGTACCAGCCGCAAGATGTCTAGGATTGACATGGTAAAGTTTGCTGCTAAGCTATTGATTAACTGGGATTATGGTTATGACAATATTACATTTCATATTTATTTATTCGGTGTTACATTATAGTACGATCACATGTCGCAGTTTGTCTGTAAAGTTCCATTGCTGTCCCTTCATCAAAGTTATCTCAGCTCTCAGCTGACACGACATTGTCCTAATCAATTCAGATCGTCAGTCCCTCTGGCTGACTTTCGATAAGCCTCCTCTGTGTTCCTGTACCCTTGGTATGAGTTTTATACTGCAACTAGTTGTGAATTACTCACAAGGACGCTCTCCCATCATTACATAATTCTGAGAGAATTAGGATCCAAAACCAACACAATGTACCCACAATAATTATGGAACACATTATTCACTCTCACTACTTAAACATATTTCTTCCTGTAATGTTTACTGTAACGTTAAGTCAGATACTTGCAATGACGTCATACCATTATACTAATAGAATGTATGTGGACACTCTTTACAGTAACTTGAATTGTGAATGTGGTAATATAACGATTTTTTCTTACAGTTTTAGTAGCTTTAACCTTGGGATTGAACACTTAACATAAGTTGGTTAGCATTAACACCGTATTTAGTACTTGAAACATTCAGCTAGTGTGATGAATTAAAATATTTCAAACATATATTCAAAACTATGTCTATTTGTATCATACTTATACTGTGCATTATAGTGTCTGCGCCACTGGATGAAAAGTTAAGAAGTAATAGGTTATCTTGGTATGGACATGTCATGCGGAGGGATGAGGAAAATTTGGCGAAGAAAGTTTTAGGTATGGGAGTTGAAGGGTACAAGAGAAGAGGCAGACCGAAGAAAAGGTGGATGGACTGCGTGAGGGAGGATATGGCTAGGAAGGGAGTAAACAGTGAGATGACGCATGACAGAGTAGAATGGAAAAAATCATACAACTGCGCCGACCCCAAATAAAATTGGGAAAAGGGTAGGCAGATGATGAAGATGATTCAAAACTATGTCTAATTATTAGCACGGTGAAATCGATTATTGACGGTCCGAAAACAATTTGTTAACAGCAATTTTATAAAGTTCGTATTTTCTTACGAACGATCATTATCAGATTATAAAATGATCACCTTCACGTCTGAGAGCTTAGTGTTAGTTTATTTCACATCGACTCGAAAAACCAGGCCCTCTGTTTATCTTTATTTATGGGTTGTATTTATAGCTTCTGGGATGTTTCAAGTTACAGAATGATTGCATTGTTATAACTCTGTGTAATTATAATTACGTGGGTTTAAATAACATGTCTGAACTATAATCGATAAATAATTATAAAATATACTAATTAAAAATGTTTACACTTTTGCATATGCAGTTGGATAATAGAAATACCAGGTCTCAAAATATATTTACTCTGATTAATACTTTTTAAATGCCGAATACATGGCTTTTCATAGACAATAGGTTTTCTTTTTATTTATTTATACATCATGCACTTTTGGTGCATTGGCGGACTTAATGCCTAAGGCATTCTCTACCAGTCAACCTTTGGGTGATGCAGAGAGAACAGGAAGTAGGTGCATTTTGGTTAAAATTTGATAGTAGTTATAATATCAAATTTTTCTTAATTTTCGAACTCCAACCTTTTACAGACTACATTTTTACCGTGTATGGTTAGTATTAAAACACACATGAACACATATATACACAAGTTGCATGATTGCTATTTGCTTTTACTTGTAAAATTATAACTTTGCATGCATGCGTTTTCTTTAACTTAATAATATTTAGCCAAGTCTCTTTTGGTTACTTATGAGGCAAATGTGTAATTTTTGTTATTACTTTCGTCACTTATTTTTTTGTCATCATCAAAAACAAGATTATAAGTCAAAAATAAACATACTTATAATCTAATAGAGAGTATATATACCTCACGTATTCTTATAAGCTCCTGTTTGTTTCTGTATACTTATAGGACGTTTATGTCACGTAGGAATTTATGGATTAGTCTCGTTAAAGACCTTAAAGCTACGGTATTTTCGAAGGCTAGTCACTACTCGAGGCTGCGCAACGACCTCGAGGCTAACTATCTCGGTGGTGGCGGTCGCTGGTTCGAGTTATATCTACAGAGGTTTAATTCTCGGTAGGCTCATACGCTCGACTGACAATAAGTTTTGAACTAAACACTACTCATATTAACTAGTCCCAAACGGTTACCATTTATAATAAAAAAAACTTAACAGCATTTCACAAAGGGAATTTTACAGGTCGATATGCAAGTTGAAAATAAAGTAAATGTTCTGTTTTGCCCTGAAATTGTTAACGAAACATGCATGGTGTTTGCTCGAAAGCGTGACACTAATCCCCCGGTGTGGTACTCGGGTAGCGGAGAGTAATGTGTATTGTGGTGTGGTGCGCGTAGGCCATCAAGAGCAGCGCGTTCAACGCGCGCGCCAAGCTGCGCGTGGGGCTGGTGGCGGTGCGCGCGGCGGTGCGCCTGCGCCACCTGCCGCACACCGCCGCGCGCGCGCTGCCGCTGCGCGACGCGATGCGCGACCCCTACACCATGCGCGTGCTCAGGAAGGTAATTTATACCTACATGTGCTATAAGCTACTCTACTCTGCAGTACTACTGCTGAATTTAAGTTTTTTTTAAACTACTCTAATTTAACGGATGGCGTAGTGGTTTATGCGGTCGCCACGCCGCTTCCTACTGCGCCGAGTGCTGTGGGTTCAAACCCCACATGGGACGACACTTTGTGTGATCCACAACTTGTTGTTCTGAGTCTGAGTGTTCTTTGTGTCCGTTTCATGTATGTTTGTGAAGTCTCCCGCGACACAGGATATAATCCTAATGTCTTTTAAAAGTTAAAAAAAAAAGTGTTTATTTGTGATCGGTACCATATTCATTGTTTCTAATTATCAATACATACTTGCTTATTAAACTACGTCACAAACCTATAACAGGAATATTGCGGACAAAAATGTTTATTAAACCTCCCATATCTTCATTTTTGTTATTCGACAAAAATGCCTTTCTCACTTATAAATGTCCTAAGCATGATCGCTCTTATTTTAATTACTATTAAACAAGTGACTTCATGTGTATATTCCAGGTCATAGACGGGTGCGCTTTCCGTGTATACGGCCATTGGGTCAAGAAGGGCGAGGGTCAGAACCGCGCGGCCTTATTCGAGAACACGCCCAAGACGGAGCTGAAGAGCTTGTACGTGAGCAACCTCAGCCGATAGCCGCAACGAGCTTCTGTCGGGAGACAGCCACGCCGACTTGAATTAACTGGTACCAAGGTAAGAATGTACCTGATTCGAACCCATGTACTAAGTACGAAGAAGTAACGTTTGACGTTTCATACTTTCTTAGGTTAAGCTTTAAAAACATATTTAACAGTAACATTTAACCCGTCCTCCTCCCAATAGAGCAATTCACACTCGCATGTTTTATCTTGTTTAAATACGCATAGTCAATGTATATATCTCAAATAACTTCAAAAGTAAAAAATATTTTCAACAGGCATACATAGACTAGCGTTTTGAGTAGATAGTAGCTTTAATTCGTCATTAAACTTGGATAAAACTTCTTTACTGAATACAAAATTATAACAATAGCACCACTTAACTTTTTAAGGGACCCCTAAGTTCCAAACTTTCTGATTTTTCCATGTATGTCTTTATACTTGAGAGGTTGAAAATGAAAACGTTTATTAAAAATCTATTTTTTCTTTCTTTGCAGAAGCACTTCACGTACCAGGATAGCAGAGTTTATGAAGACGTGTGTTTTCGTTCCAAGAAGTTCGGAATCACGTAGCAACGAGTGATGTAGGTTAGTCGTAGTTAAACAGTAGTACATACTACATAGTTATATTAGTTCAATTGTCCACCTGTATTATTCAATGACTGCCCATTAGCAGAACACTTGCGTTGTTGCCAACGTAAAATTATTGTACTTGTGTGATACAGGGTTGCCTGTTTATATATAATTTTTGTGCATCTTGAGATATAATTGTCATTTATATCACTGTATTTTTTAAGAGTAAGTGTTCAAGCAATAAGACGAAAAATTGAATATTTTAATCTGGTCTCACATTCACACCACTGTGAAACCATTAAGAAAACATCATCAGGTCCACTGCTAGACTGATAGGTCTCTCTTTAGCAAGGAGTTTATAGCCCACTGACCAGACGGGTTGGTATAGGATTTGTTTCAAGTTTTCCTTCTGTTTGCAGTACTGCTTTCCTGCGTAGTTTGTTCCCTTAGTCGGTTCTGACGACACCCACGGGATGAATAGGGGTGACACTATGTATCCTTATCCGTCAGCACACGAAAATAAGAGAACATACCTTGTGCTTTTGCTTCAAATTGTCCCATCTTTTCTTTTGTTAGTTTTCTTTCATTGCATTGTGAAGAAGTGCAAAACCGCGATAAACTTTACAAGTATGTACTGTTTTCTTTTTGCTACAAACATACAACGTGAATATATCACAAGTAATTATGGCGTAAATGTCGACTCGCTTAATAATATTTAATAAACTCAATAGTGACAAAGAAATCGCGTTTCTTTGAAATATTAAAAAAAAAAGAGATTATCTTCATTTCGTTGGGTTAAGAAGGTAGTAGATTATATTTAAAACATAGGATGGGGTTTTTCAGGATCTTAATTAAGGATCTTCATTGCGTGAGTGTTGCCAACATCCATGGGCTGCGGTAATCGACTGCTATGAGGCAGGCCGTATGCTTGTATACATCAATGTCACTTGTAAAAACATGCTTGAATAGAAGTAGTGTTGACCCGAAATATTTAATTTATTGTACTTCGAAATTAATATATAATTATGACAGCAATATAGTGATGTGATGAAGAATTATTATCATTAAGTATGTCATTATTGTAGTAAGTAAATTCTCATTAAGTTAAGGTACACAGTAGTTATAATTTAGTATTATTGTTTTGTAAAAATATTTTGATCAAAATAGTTTTATCATTGTCATACATTTAAATTCATTATATTGTACAACCAATTGACATTATTATAGTAACAGTGTGATTATATTATATAATGCAAAACTAGGTATACAAAATGTTATAGCAATACAGTATAGTAAAAAATACATGTCAAAATAAATACAATGACATGTGTATTTCAAATATACATGTCATTGTATCCATTATGACATGTTTATTTTAGTCTAATTTGTGACGATGAGGTGCCTTCTGAGTTTTTGATGCGAGATTTTTAGTTAAAAAAATGTAGTGAAGCTTTTTGTCTGCGAATCCGGTGCAATGTGATTTTTGTTTTTTTTTTTGTTTTAAAATGGAGTGGTCGGTCAATAAAATCAATATTAGGCAGTTCACGTTTTCTTTGATTAAAAAAGTTTTGTGAGTGTATTCATAATGTATAGATTTTTCAGCTAAAATTCTTGTATGTATCGTCTTTTGTTTGTTTGTTTATTTCATATTATGTGAAACAATTAAAGTTTTAAGAAATATTATCGTATTTATTGTTATATCACTAACAATGAGGCCAGGGCTAGTAGAAAATTAATTACGCGAGCTCATAGAAACAAATACTTGTTAAAATGAGCGTTGTTTACATATATTACTTTTTAAATATACTGTTGCTTCGATAATCTGCGACGGTAGTGGTATGAAACTATCACATTTAAACAATAATTCTATCAATATATAACAGTGTATATATTACGCCACAACTGTGCTCACAAGCTTAACTTTTTTTTACTTAATTCAACAGTTAATGTAAAATATAAACTGTTTTGAAAATTACTTGCTATTTAAAAAAATAAAAAAGAAGATAATATATATATTCATGGTAAAAATACAGGGCTAATTTATAGAAATTTAAATAAACCCTTTATGCTATCCATCAACAAAGTTTACTATAGCTTATATTATTTTTGTCATGTGGCAACTCAAAATCCTAAAAGTGGCTACAATGTTGTTGTGTTGTTATTTAATAAAGTATGTGGAACATGACATTAAGTAATTTAAATTTGTGATCAAATATCTATTTGTAGGGTGCGCATTTTTCCACATAACTTTTTAAGTCCTATTATCGGAAGTGCGATAATATTTCTCATACCATTTTACATCATAATGATCACTCTTCATAAAAATATTTAATACTAACGATCGAAAATCATACTCATCAGAATTGATAATATCACTAATCATACACCTGGTTTATACTGATATTTGTTTTCCTATGTTGTCTTATACCAACGATCGAAATTAGGAAACCATTCTAATACATAACGCCAATATTCATAAATTTGTTTTATACTAATGTTTTAGTTTCCATATATTCCTTAATCATAAATATTATTTATCTCTTATTTAAAGCTACCAAGTTATTTAAAGCGTTATCTTTTATTTTGTTTATAGTGCTGTCTGCCTGCAATAGAAAAAAATAAAAAGGGATCAATAATACATAGATAGAGAGGTTTAAACGTTTGTTCATTAAATAGGCACAGGAACTTCGATTGTGTGAAATTATGCATTTAAAGAAGGTCTCCGTTAGGTAGACCGAGTGTTAGGTAGACCTGCGACCCTAAAGCGAGCGATGCCAGAACCGTTTTTTTAAACGAATACTTACATGTAGTAGACGACGTCGAAGAATCACCTTCTAAGTCCCTGCGTCTTTGTAATTTACTACCATTTTGACTCCTCTATCTATGTAATTATTGATCTGAGAGAAAAAGTTTGCACGGTTGCCCTTCTAACAGAAATGAACTGTTAATAACCTCTCAATTACAGCTAGAAAGGAAAAGATGGCATCATATACATAGATGTTATTCCTAAGTTGCATTTATATTTTTCACTAAATAATAACAACAAGTAAATCTTATTTTGAATAGTTACCGTTATGAAAAACAATTTTATGAATTCAAATATTTTCCTAGTAATATGTCATTATTAATAAGAAAGTTATGATAATTTTCTGTTATGAAGGAAACTGTTCTGAAAAACAACATTATTATTTCAAACATGTTCTTAGTAATAACAGTATTAATAAAAGAGTGCCGTTGGTGGTAAAAAAAAATTATGAACAAAACAGTATGTTTTTTTTTTGAAGAGTGATTATTATGGACAAACCAGTAATAAAACAAAAAATAGGAATAAGATTTTTATGTGAGCCAATATGGACCCCTGTTTATGACGTTAATGACGTGTAGACGGTACGAATAAAGACAACACCTTAAACTTTATATCATTTTGTAATATCTATTGTACAACAATTGCAATTATTTTTAAGTACACACAGAATTGAAATAAACGTATTAAATAACTATTTTGTAAATTATTTCCAAAACGTATAAATGAATAGAGGCATTTTTTTAAATTGTTAGTGTTGAATGTTAAAAATATCTAAAATAGCAATAAAATTAAACACTTATTGAGGTTAGTAAAAAAATCTTCGTAAATGGTATAATTTAAAAAAAATTATATCTTTCATCATCATTAATCATCATCAACAGCCTTTAATAGTCCACTGCTTTACATAGGCCTTTGCCTAAAAAGGAGGTTTTGGCCTACTGTACCAAACTGGACATTGGTTGGTATAGGGATCTTTAAAATATATTAAATAACACTACAATTAATCAAGATTAGTACAGAATGAATACATTTTTTTACAATTCACAATTCAATAAACTGTATATGTATAAAAATAAAATTATTTTTATACATATACAGTTTATTTAAAAATCGTCTCCGCCTGTCCAAATGTCAAGCTAGAATTTAAAAACTTGTGACTGATCGTTAACCGCTGAACTAACATTTTGTTATCATCTTTCACAGGCCAAAAGCTCATAATGCACTAAATTCTTTTTAAAAATGTAAACATTGTTTTTGATTTTTTTAAATAGTTTGACATTAATGTGCTCTATCGTGTTGTCCAGTGACAAGGTTTTATTATTGTGTTTGCAATATTTACACAACACCCGTTTCAGCTTCGGATAGTTTTTAATGTTTATGAGTTATCTGGTTTTGTTAACCAATCAGTCTTTATGATTGGTTATAAGAGTCCACTGCATTCTCTTGGAATTTGCCTAAACTAAACTTGGCTCGAGATAAAGTTCCTTTGCGCTGCGTTGCAATAAAGTATCCCTTACTTAGTACCTACTTATAAGCAGAACATAATTATGCAGTTGCTTATAAATCGGATGTTCTCTCCAACTACTCACTTCTATACAATTAAGATCTGTTACATGGCTGAAATAAAGTTCAAGTCACTTTTGAGACGAAAGTCTTTTTAATAGTGAATGAAAAAGTTGAGTTGATAGAACACACTTTACAAACGTAAATATGTATAACTAGTACTTAGTAAAGTTACATCAAGAGTTAACATTAAAGTGCACTGGCGTTTAGAGACGCTTCATAAAACTCAATGAGCCAAACAGCTTGTTAAGTTTGCGATAACTGAGGAAGTGAAAGTTGGCAAGAGTTACGCACGTGCGCGGCTATCAACTCCACATTTACGCGACGCAGTACCGCAGACAACACTTTATTTAAAACTAACAACTTTTATATTCATTTTTATAAAGACTGACCGCTGAATCACAGAAAATTAAATAAAAATATTAGATAAACAAAGCTAGAGTGCCGCGTCACCGGCTAGCGGGCGGGGGCATGCTTTCGATCCCTGCAATGGCATCGATCGCGCACGCCCCGTGCTACGTCGCGCGGCCGGCGGGCTGTGATTGGTGCAGCGCTCCAGTCACGTGACACTCGCGTTGCGCCGCCATTGGATGACCCGGCTCGGCCACGTGAGCGGCGAGAGGCGCGCGTGGCCAGTCGCGGCGTGACAGCGGGCGCGCCTGGACCGCGAGGCGCCCGCTCAATGTCGATATGAGCCTCCTCGACACGCTGCTCGAGGCGGCACGCTTCATCGAGCTGCAGGAGCGGCGCCTCCAGGGTGAGTACGAGCTACAGTCTAGGGCTGGCTCCGGCCGTGCGCCCGACGTGTCCCGCTCTCTCCGTGTCACGAGTGAAACCGGTCCCTGGGCGTGCGCCGCCCGCGAATGTCCAGTCGCCGGCGCGCCGGTGCAGCGAGCCGACGCCCGACGCTCTTGACCTTGAACAGCACGCAGCCGCACCCCCTTCCCCTCCGAGCGCTCCCGACCCGCGCCGGCCTCGCCCCACGTAAACAAAGGAAGCCTGAAATTCACTCGTCGGACGCCACGCACCGCACGTCCACCTTCGTTTACGCTCACCGTCTTTATCGTTAACGATACGCTGAATTGCGTCTTTATCTGTCGTGCTCGGCTAACTTCGTACTAGTGCAAAATCTTTTTATTTGCGGCAAAGATGCGACAGAACAATCTAAACGTAATCGTAAATAACGATGCTAGAGTATTTTCCTAGTTGGAGTGGGTGGTAGGAGAGCGGTCTGTGCGTGTATACGTGGAGCAGGCTCGTCAACATAACGCATGACGCATTGGAATAGGCAGGCAGGGGGCGCTCGAGAGTTTGGTCAGCTGATCGTCGCGTGTGCTGGGCGTGCGGGGAGAGCGGAACACGGCGGGGTGCGGGGGACACGTACGTGTGCACACGCATCGCAGACACGGGCAATGCGCTTTACTATATGCATTTCAAAGTAATTTTAACATTACATCCTCTCAGTGTTCACATAGGTTTTCGAATGTTTACCTCAAGAAAAACTGGGACAAGGCACGGTTGCGTAACGGTGCGTGCGTCTGTACCCACTCACAGACACCTATTGTTCTTACAATACTTGATGAACTCATTGTCTTTTGTGCATTATCGAATCTGGTTGTTAATAGCTCCGTTTATTAAACTAACTACTATGTGTCACACTAGCATCCAATGAACTTTATCACTTCTGTGAACTGATTTTGTGTTTATAAAATTCGGATTGTAAACATCCCGCGCGGTGTTTACTACAGCGGATGAAGATGTTACAAAGTCGGTCTAGAACGGACAAATTCGACTAGGATTAATAGTACTTTTAAAAGCTGCTTTTATTATCACAATAGAAAAGACATTCAAAAAATGCTACACAAGACAAGACCCGAAGAAAAATAAGTTACAAGATAAGAAAATCCCTTTATAACTCTTATTTTATTCAAATACGATATAATGCTCGAAGTCTTTAAAAACAAAAATATTCTAAGCAAAAACCAAGCCGGCGGTAGATTATTTTGTACGGCTGGTAAAAATTTTCTTGCTTTCTATATAGGTATATATACGAGTCGTCCTTTCTGTATTTATAAGCCCTCATTTGATTTTTATATTTAGTCTGTAACCAAAAGTTTGAAGGTACGGTTAAACTCTTATTTCGAGAAAACTAGACTAGTTTGGATCCAATTCGACATTTTCAATGAGAAACGAAACGGTCTAAGCAATAGATAACAGGTAAATTGGCCTAAAAATTTCGTTTGCCTCGTTTCGTTGTTTTGGTGTAGGTACTATCTTCTCTAATAGTTTATGTTAACCTAGTATTAAGTAATCTTTGTGGAAGAGAAAATAAACTTTATCTTATCGATCTATTCTGACTGTATTTATATGCCCATTTCTTTGCGTTTGTTACTACAGAACTCTATAATTTATTTACCTATGTGGATTATTTTTTATCTGAATGTGATTCACAAAATTCAAAAATCTACTTAGTTTTGAAAATTAATAAATTAAGAATACTAGCTCCTAAAGTAATAAAACCACTTTCAAAGACAGCAGAGGTTCTGTTGAACAAGGCCGGGCCAACACGTTTCTCCGCAAGCGGCGTTATCATGTTTGTCCGACACTTATCAGCGCAATAGCCAACACCACCTACCTACATATAACACCGCTTTACCGTTGTACCTACGTGACTCGGTGCCGAATCGCGATACCCTATCTGAAATAAGCACTTTTACGTGCAACGTTACAAATAACTTTGTTTTCTCTACGTCAAATAGAAAACGTATTCATTCTTAGAATACAATGAACAGTTTCTTTCTTTCTTAAAAGATAGCTCATTTAAATCAATTTTGTAAATCCTTCTTTTACTAAACCAATTTTGACACGTAATTTTTCGTTGATATTTTGTCGTAGGAGAGCACGGCATGAATGCCCCGGCTCGGCCATATGTACCACGGCCTCACAGAATACCGGTGTTACTCAATTCTTTCAACTTTTCACGGATTAAGTGCGGTTGCTGAAGCCCAAACATCCCCTCCATCTGATTTGGGGATGGGGACTCTAAAATTGACATTGCACTTGGAGATGGCCATGGACAGCGGTAGTCCCTCGTGACCCGTCTACTCGTTTGCTCTCCTATGCTATAAAATATTGATTTTTTGGAGAAAACTTCTTCAGGCGCGTTGGGCATTTTTGAACAACAAACAAAAGAATGTATATCATGGTTTAACAAAAAACTCATTTTTTGTGATGGGAAAAAACCATTGAACTTGCGACACTGTTACCGTTACCGACACCTAAATATGTAAGTACCTCAAAATTATATTGGCCCCGTTTACACGAGAGTTGAGTTTGGGTTAAAAACGTTACAACAGTATTCATGTCGGAACTTTTCGAATCGGAAAAAACAAAAAGAAAACAAGTTTTCACTTCTGTCGGCACCCCCGGAGTGCCACTGTTTTTTTTTCGATGTGGTGTTGTCCACTGCTGGACATAGGCCTCTCTTTAAAAATAAGGTTTTTTTATAATACCAAAAGACCTAATAATGATATATTTTGTTATGACTTGGTATTGCCACCATTAAAATACCTTGACTCCTGTATTTCATGCGACGCATTTCATATTAGCTCAGCCTATCTTCTGCGTCTAAAGCTGAATCAACGGTGTTGTAACAAATGAGCAATACACGATTAACACTTCCTCCGTATCTAGCGTGTGTCTATGACGGATCTCATTGCATCATACCAACTTGAAACTGCAACTACTAACATTTGTAACGAAATATAGCCGTGTATCGCGCCGGGTCTTTGTCTTATGCAACACATTACAAATAATTAATTGTAGTGAAATGAAATAACCGATAAGAGTTTTAATAACAATTTCCAATACCTAAGTAACGACCAGGAAATAATATTCTGGTCATATAATGTTCACACAAAGATTTATAGGATTTTATAGGTCTATGTGACCTGTTTAACGAAAACATCAAAATCGAGGACTGTTTTTTTTTCATTAGTTTTAGTGGGTTTGACTTAGTGTCTTTGTAGAGGCACTGTCCAATGGAGGCATTTGTTTTGTATAATATGTAGTATTTATGTTTATATTTAGTTTACACAAACATGGAATGACAACTGATGAATCTAGAAATGGCGTAACCGATCCCTTGGCTTTGAAGCTGTGTTTCTTAAAACATACCTAGCCCACTCCCGGCTCATATTTAGACGTAAGCAATAACGCCTGTCCCAAAGAAAAAATGTAGAAGTCATTACGGCTACCGTCGCCTAAAGGCACTTTAATAGCATTTTCTGACTGCATCACAATCATGGCAGGGGAACGGAATAACAACACCGCTTCTGTTTACTAACGTGAATCCCGTTTAACATAAAATATCCAATACTCTTGTAAAAAAACAAACGATTGGTGTACAAAAAAGTTAATTCTATTTAATTATACGTATGACGAAGTTTATTTAAGCAATGTTTGCCACTTTTTTTTTTGAGGACGAATCGACCAAAACAATTCAGCCCCTACCTGGCACTTCAAGAATAATTTGAACCCGTGATCTGACCTTATAACTGGGTAAATAAACAAAATATAAAAAATAATTCCATTCAATGAAATAAATGGATTTTGAACAAGTTGTTTTGAATATTAATCCGCCAATAATACCTTAGGTTTTTTACAGTAAAAGCAAAGTGAAAGAAAGATTATTTAAACAATAATCTGATATTTTTTGCCTTGTAATAGTGCAATGTAGTTTAATTTATAAACAATTATAATTAGCGGGCCCCACGGTAGGTTGGTACTGCGCCGGTGAAGTAGGCGCGGCAAAACAATCGTATCATCAAGGCTCGTGTAAGGTCAACTCTGCGACGGTACCGGGCGAGCAGAATGGTGAAAGGGATCGCGTGACCTCGCCATCTGCGACTGGTCTGTGAGGACGCGTACGTTTATAATGTAGTATATTGAACTTCAGAGCAGACGACGTCGAGCGGCTGCGATACGATGCGACGTTATGCGTTGCAATCATTAGTCACACAAACAAGCGCCTGCGTCTGGTTCTACTTGCAGAACACGATAACATTATTACGCTTCCAATGTTGCAAATGTGCTTGTAACTTGCCAGCTCACCTTCCTAACTCTTAATAAACAAATTTTTTTAAAGGCAGTCGTTTAAGATTGAATAAATAAATATTTTTTATTATCTATTAGATTTGTTAATGGTCTGCCAGGAAACTCAATAGAGAGAGTGCATAACATTATCTCAATATTGTTTATGTATTAGAGTTTGAGAACGGTAGTCTCCGCTAAATACCGTTAGATGTTAAAATTGCCAATGAACTGGAATATATAATTCGAATAGAAATGCTACAGATTTTTACTCATGTTGTAGGTAACTATTTTAAAATAAAATAGTTTGTGAGAGACTAAAATATTACAATCCCTTGATAACTTTGCAGAGCGTAAAGGAATGAGAGCTAATAATAGGTAGGCTTCAAGCACGGTTTGGTAGTAGTTAATAAATTACTCTACGTTTACTCGGATATTGTTGATTCTGATTTCTGTTTTATTTTAACTCATTTAGAATGTTGCCACATTTTATTTAATGGACAAAATCAATTGCACGAATCAAAGAGCTTCGCAAACGACGCAGCCGGGTCATATCTCGACATCCGGTGGGTGGATCCCCTTTCCCAATGTTTCCACTTCGTATCCCATGACGTTAGGATTGTTAAAGCTTTTGACTGTTTATACACTTTTTATGTTGTAATTTTTTAGCGTTCTAATTGAAATATTGCTGATAAATTAATCTTGAATCCGTCTTCAAGTTGTAAGTTCGATAAGCGTGGTCAGTTTTTGCCGTAGTTGACTGAATGACAAGTGTGATACTGCCATTGTTATGTTCTTATTATTGATTCCAAGACAGAAGTTCTTTGACGTGTGAAGTACTTGATTTAATGGCAGCTCTAGGCCCCGAAATAGAACCTAGGAATGGTGCATCGCATCGCAACAACCTGCTAAACCGGCAGGTGTGGTTGCAAAAGGTACAAGAGGGAGGTATTTGTGAGGCGGTGTTCCCCGATCGCGGGGGGAAACAGGGATGCGGGGTGAAGCAGGGGGGGATATGGTGAGGAGTGCGGTGGCGGCCCGGGCTGCACGCTGCACCGTACCAAGGTCAGCCGCCGCACGCATGCGCGTCCCTCCCCCTACCTGCCTCCTTATCGGAACTCGGAACCTGCACCCGCACCTCTTATGCGTTCTTACGAATTGCACACCGAATTTTCCTCTTAACACTAAATGTGTAACGTTTTATTACTTGAAGATTGTAATAATACCACCTGCAGAAAATGGCAGTAAATCGTTTGGTCTCATGGGAGTTAATTTAGGTCAGTCAAGATTTAGAATTTTTAGTTACTTCTATTAAGTACTTCTTTTTGTTCAACGTTTTGTTTAAAATTGTGGCATTCATATCTTGTAGAAGTAAAAAATTGCGTTGATTTTTGTCTGGGTTGCAACAAGATGTATTTGGTTAGATACAGGATCTAACAATTCATATCTGCATTAAAAATGCTTATCTATTCCCGTTTCATAAAGCGATAAACAGAAGCGATAGAGCATCAAGACATAATTATTTGACTATTTATCGCTTGTTAGGCGATACCTAGTCGTTGTATCCTGCAACAAATATGTACTAGACCTAGCAGTGTTGAGATAACACGTATCGTTTGTGTGTAAGTCGTTCAAATGTAATTAATGCTTAGTTGTAAACGAATGAAGAGAAAAGCAATTATAATTTTAATGATCGGAACTTTTGACTTCAATGTTTGTGTCCGCAAAGTGCACAAAAAGATTTTTATATAGTTTTTTTTTATAGGTGTGTCTATTACTATTTATTTTTTCTTAATCCTTGATTCATCGAGGATAGGATATTTGTAAGCCAAAGTCTTTGGCGAGTCCTACGAGACTTCAACAGTGTTTAAAGTTACTTGAAATGGCATCTCAACAATTATCTTCATCTACGTTAAACCAAGGCTTCCGATTTTTGCAAAAGTATGTTTGTGTGTAATGGGAAATCTGACAATACCGGCTGCGTCGGCCACATATCATTAGAAAGCTATTGGCTATTGTGGCTAAGGTGCATAAGGAGCGACGCGTCGCAGGCTAGCACAAGACACTCGACTCCTACGTTAGTTCGCACAGTTGCGCCGCTCGATTCGGTTGCAATGTTCCATTCACCTTATTTGTCGACGACGAGGTTCAGTGACTCCGACGGCGACCGACTAACTCTTCGATACACGTCATCTGCGTGCTAATGCCGCTGTTTCATCACTTACGGCCGATCGCCGCAGAGTTCTTAAAATTCTGAAGGTGTCCCGCCGCGCGGCCATCGAGGCGACCTCTTTTCGCTTGCGACGAATGCGACGCGCGCCGTTCATGCAGCGTTATGTAAAGTTAAGAGCGGTGCAGCGGTGAGCGTTGCGCTCGACCGCGTGCGCGCCCCCCGCATGCGTCTCCCTCCTCGCGATTTCATTTGCCGTCGGTTTCACTCGCCACGATCGGCAGCGCGGGGTTCCGGAGGTCGCGCACCTCCCGCCTCCTCCACCCTCCTCGGAGACTGAGCCGGTCCGTGGGCCGCTGCGGCCACTCAGTCGTCGAGCGAATTGCGTCGACGGCGGTCGGCTCCGCGCCTCGCCAGTCGTTGCCTTGTCTGATGACCTATCGTTCGCGAAATGCCGTCGCTGACACAACTCGATTGAACCGCACCGCCCGCACCGTCGCGCTCGCACTTTACAGTCGCGCTTCCGTTTCGGGAGTCGTTCGTGGTGAATTCTCGGCTGCGTTTGCGACGGTCACGAACACGCTCGTCGAGCTGACTACGTCGTGTCAAAAATAGCGTGCGTTATCATCGCGACCTCGAGCGGCGAGACGAGATAGCGCGAGGTCGGCGGCACCTGCGCCGCGCCTCGCCCCACGTGCACGGCACCACAACCCGCTGCAGCCTACTGCCAGCTATTAGCAAATGTGTGCCGCACTACCCCGGCCTTCTAGTAATGGCTCACTACGCCGTCACTGGTGCACCACCCTCGCGCTATCTCATCTCACCCGCCGCTCCGTCAACTACTGATAACTTTGGATTTGCACAATTGGCGTTCAAATATGTGTAGACTGCATCTGCTGGAGATTTTTCCTGACCACCTTCAGATATTTCTGTCTTGAAGTTTTTAATTTTGGTAAAGAGACGCTGAAAAATCTAACTCTTATTTATTTATCGATTTCGTAGCAACTTATTATGTTATAATTATCTGGTTATTAAGGTACTAGTAATATTACAATATTTTATCGCTATCCATATGATGAGGTACATGTACTTACAGGTACTTACACATAACTGATTAATAAAAAAAATCAAACAAACCTACGTCGTAACTCTGCCATTGTGCCATTCTTATTAAAATTACTTTTCAAACATCTGTTGTCATCGATGATCTTTTCGTTTGTTATTGAGATGCTCTCAGACATACGAATAGGTCGCATCTGATATGAATATATCAAGTATGAGAGGATTTAAAAACTATTGTTTTTCAACTGTTTAAAATGTTTGCCAATATTGTTTGTTCGAGCAACGTTAAACCACCCTTAATAGTGATGTTTCAGTTTTTCTTTGATATTCTCATTGTTTTCCTGAATATTGATGTTCGCTCTTCATCTTCATTACTGGTTGGGATCCTCTTAATTTAAATAATCGACAGCTGGTTTTTTTGTTTCGACGCACGTAAATTTGTTGTTTATTTTTTTTGGATTGCCTAACGCGATGACTAGTTTAAACGGAAAATTATATTTACATATAACTTACATTTTGTTAAATGCATGTACTAATTGTGAACTACATAAAATTATTTCAGTAATACGATTTGCCATTGCAGTATTCTGTTAAAGATAAATATGGACAAAAATGGTATTTTACAATATTTGCACTGTAGTTTTTCGTAACATTTATAATAATTCTTAGTATGAACAAATCATATTAAATTCATCTATCCCTAGAAATTTTGCACTTGCTTCAGTTTATAGTAAATTGGAGATTGGAAAAAATATAAAACAAAAATAAATTAAATTAAATGATAATGGTTATAGGTTAAGTAACGATTGTAAAGCTACAAGACAGTTTTTGATTGATTCTTTTGTCAATAGTCAAATGCTTGTTCCTTATTCCTTATTTTTCTCTCTCATCTTCTCACAAAAATTGATAGTATTTGATTAGATCTTAATTATTTGTTCTACCGAAAACAATAGGTATGAGAGTATTATGCCAGACTATTTCTCTAATTCAGATGTGATTATATTATCTAATAAGCGAATACATTTGTTGCTAAATTACGTAACATGAGATTTTAGGTCCGACAATACACTTTTTACAGAGAAAAATATATGATCGCAGAATGTTTTGATTAATTCTTCACATCAAAACTTTTTCTGCTCAAATAGTGTTAAAAAGTCTTCGTTTTCCAAATCATCTACTGAAGTAACTGCTTATTTTCGTTTATATTTCCTACACATAGCCACCATTGTCTTCGAACTTTGTATAACAAAGCGATCAGGGTTAGAATATAGTGTACCATCGCCGGTGTAACCTAAATGAAACTACTTTCAATAGAGAATACATGTAATCCGTTAAACTTTTATTCGCATGTTCTAGAATAATCTAAAAGACAAAGACTATCGATAAAGAATAAACATATATATTTGTGAGTATTGTTCAGTTAGTAACTGATAACAGTAAGATGTTCACAGATGACGTGATCTATATATTATGTAGGTACATTCTGAAAGTGAATTGAGGACGTATTGCTGACGTAAACTGTTTTTTTTTGTAACGGAAAGGCTTATCTGTTGCTGGTTGATATTTCAATGTTTTATGCATTGCCTTTAGACGTATTAATTAATTGAAAGTAATATTTTCTTCATATTAATTTGACTGATCAGGGTACGAATCAATTTTTTAAAGGTCCATCGAGTAGTTTCTTTGGCTACTTTTTAATTGTGCCGAATTGTCCAATCAAGTCAGAAGCGCAACAGAAAGTAATAAGACATCTCAGTGAAATACGGCTGATTTTGTGATGTAATTTTTTTTGTTTAATATCGAACCAATTTATTTTGAGAAAGGCTATTTATAGAGGTGGGTAGTTACGCAATAAAAGCGTTTTCCTCAACAAAATTTCAAAGTTACATATTCTCTTTTCCTGTTTAGAAAGGATTTTTATTCCTGTGTAATTGTTAAAAAGGTTTCGTGTCAAAGAACTTTACTAATGGCGGCGCCGAATAAAATTCTTTCCTTTTATTTAGACGACTTCAACTGATATTATGGATTCGTTAGTCGTTTTCAATAGTTATATACAGTTCTATATGTTCTGTCTAGTATTTCTATCATATAATTTTGAATTATGATCAGTGTCACTGATAGGTACTTCTTTTTACTCTTTACCAAACCGGAGTTTAACTCGACCGTAACCAGATCACCCCTGGCCAGACACGACACGCTGTGATTGTTACGAGCTCTGTCCCGTTGACCGGACTCAGTCATCGAAGTGTGACACGTACTTTGATTTTTTTTATTTTACTCGTTTCTAAAAATTTATGCCGCCCCTTATTTTTGGGTGCATTAGTAATTTCTTTGGTTTTTATTGAAGGAACAGCCAAATTGTTACTGATTTGTTTCTGCAGTTTTTCACCTCAATATTCGATCCTTATCCTTTGTGGACATAAGTACGAAAAATTCTTAAATTACCATTTTAGATTGTCCGTATTACACTGCTCATGACGCGTTTTCCTGAACACCTGCACTAGGTTTATTGCGAGCTAATCTTGGTAGTGCTTTAAAAATATTGACACTTTTCTGCTTTGACTTTCGCTGCTTAAACAAAAAAAAAATACAGACGAATTGATAACCTCCTCTTTTGTGTTTGAAGGCGGTTAAAACCATTAAACTTTCGAATCTAATTAATTAATCATAATTGCCATAGTGCGCGGTACGGGTGACAAATTTGAAACGCTTTAAAAGTGTCGTCTAAAATATTCCTAATATCCGCTATTGCGCAATAATTATTATTGATTTTTATATTGCACAATTGAGAAAAAAGTGCAAGCATTGGCAGACTCTACGGCCTACATAATACAAGTACAGTAGTTTGAGAACTGACACTCGCTCCAAAAATAAAATAAAATATGCTTCCTATAAAATAATATAGGCCTCTTATCTATTATATTTTTAATATTATTTCTAACATTTTTTTCCCTACAGTCATTGTCGTAAATTTGTAACGACTTTCGTTTTTTTTTTGTAAGAGATCTCTTGGAATTGGCTCATGCCTTATACTATATACAATAAAAAAAGGTTAGACGATATTATGTATAACATTTTGTAAATTAATCTTTAAATACTGCCTCCCAAATCCTGAATTGCCATATTAAAATGATCAATGCAAAATATAGCTTGGTACATTCACGCTCTAACTTCACGTTATTAGGAGTACAGAAGAAGCCAGAAGGTACCATGCAGCTAGAAAAAAGCCCTTTAAAAATAAAGTGAAGAAATTAAACGACCGAGTTCTTAAAACCGAAGCGGTTCCCGAGTTTATTGTTCTATATATTACATAACATCAGTAGCTTCTCAAGTTGTACAAATTAGTTTTTATTGATGCATTACGAGTTTTTCTATAATAAAAAAAAACATGAATTACGTGTCACGAGGCTTTCACTGAACGGCGATGGTACATGGTACAAGTATTTTGCAAACCGTTGTGTATAATTTAATTTGTGTATATTTTCATTTGTCAAGATCATTAATTAGCACATAAGTGTCCTGAGTGGATTTTACACAACTCACACCATCTGCTAATATCGATGAAGTTTTATTGATACTGATGTTTATACATCTAGAAAAATCAGTATAGTACCTATAGAATGTAATCTTACAAGGACTTCATAATTGTAATGTTTAAGTCATAGTATTAATAGTTATAGCAACATAGCGTACAGAAGTATGGCAAGTCGTTGCGCCTGTAGGTAAGTAGAGTTACATAATATAAACACGGACACGTGTCGTCGTTTGTATCGCTTATATAACTCGCGCGTGTGTACGCTCGCTTACGTCGACTCCTCAATATAAGTGAGGTTTCGCTGGAAGCTCACTTGGAAATTATTATCGACCTATACTTCTACACATGTCATGATATCCTGGTTCATCTTTAATCTATTAAATCACATTTATAATTAATGCAACTGTTTATTACAATAACGTCGCGCTTTCCCTTATTATTGTTATCAGTGAGATTGCTTACACGTTACAATTTAGATAACAATTCTAAACAATTTATCTGCCTCCACTAACAGTTTCTGTAACTAGATGTTTCGAGCAGCATTTGTTGTTGTATAAATTATCGTTTGTTATTGCTTTTAACTATAACAGTAATGCTTTCTAGGCACGTGTATCACCAAGAATTGTGACCGAACCGATAACGTTACCTACTTCATTTCACGAACAGTCCAACGCTCCATTGCATTTTCGCTTTTTTAACTTCCAAATCGCATCGTATTGGGCATAAAATCGTATACCGATTTAACGTTATTTTGATGGGAAAGAAATACTAACGTCTTCATTTATTGTGATTTTCTAGCACGTACTCATTCGTCATCAAGTTAAAAACTTTCTTCCATCCTTTTTCTCTAAAAAAATCACTATGTCTGCCAATTCAGTCGCTTGCCGTACTAAGGAAACATGACGTGTCAGGAGGTAGAGCTAGCTGTCAATGACTGTCCGCGGCAGACGAGGAGTGAGGCGCGGGGTGTACACGTGCCATGCCTTCGACGCCCTCCCCGCACTTGTTGAGCGCCGCGTCGCAGCGGACCGATGCCATCGGCAGTGGCTAGGTCGCTCGCACTTACAACACCCGTTCTATTACCTTCCAACCTTACTCATACATGCGCCGTCTCATTCTTGCGGACGTTACTGATTTACGAATAGAGACTATTGATTTCAGTTAGCACTTCTATTTCCTTAAAGGTAGAATTTGCTTTAAATTCCTAAAGTTTACAATGTAGGCAATAATTTGATAGATTCCTACCCTTCATAGACCCCATTGTTAATCGAACCTTTCTATTTTTGAAATCCTTAAGATTTGTCCGGAAATATAGCTTGCTTTTCTTTTATTTTACCAAGTAACTCATTGCGTAAAACTTGGTCTACGTCAGAACTCTTCGTCAGAGAAGCCCTATGTTGAAGTCATTTAACGTTTTGAATGGTCAACTCGTTTCTTAATCATTTAACAAACTTTAAAACAATACTTTGAACGCCAATTGACTTGCACAACTTTTTACCGTCGCAAATGTCTATCCATGAAGTAATTTCAACGTTTGCTATAGAATATATCTGAAGAATAACTATTGTGGTGAATAAGTGAATAAAAGAGGACAAGTTTAACAAACGAACTCTAAGTTGGAATAATTAAAATTGACAGGACTCAAGTGAGACAACCAGTATGAGGACTAGTAATTGTAGTTAACAAATATAGTGTCCCATTGTAGAATGGGTATACTTATGGAAACCACCGAAGCGAAACTGGGCAGTACCGGTTGCCGGAGACGTCGTATGCATCCGGAACTATTCGGCGCCATGGGAGCTCCTGGCGAATTCTACACTGACACCCTCCACACAATCGCTATCAATACCAGGGAAACAGAATTCGGCAGCATCGTTGAGCCCATACCGATAACGCTCAAAGCTTATAAACATTTCGAAGCTCACGGACACGCTATCAATGGCAATGGGTTAGCGCAGCAGCAAACAAAAACATCCGTTGTCGTTGCACCTCGTATGCCCGAGTTTCCCTCTACTTCGAATTTCAAACCTATTTTGGTTAAAGAAGAGACCAAAGATGAACAAAAGATTGCTTGCCCACCACCTAAGAAGAAGTGGATAAAAGAATATTTAGGTAAGTTTGTGAATAAACAAAAATATTCATTAATTAGGGTAATGATACTGCAGCAGCTCATTTCACTGAAACTCTGTTATGACTCCAAAGCTTATATGATGGCTCAATAGCAGTCACAACAATGCACTTGTATGTAACATGATATTTGAAAGTGATTCAATAGGTCAAATTGTCCACGTGAGTGCATTATTCGACCTTGTTGAACGACCTCGTCTAGTTTTGCTTACCAGAATCCAAGAGCACAACTAAAACGCATATTTATAAAAATTTAGTGTAGCTACTGTTTTTAACGTTTACGTTTACGTTTACGTTTATATTTACGTTGCCATTTCTTGCAATTGTAGCGATTTTGACCAAAAAAGTCAGGTTTTACATTGATATGGCTTCTGATGTTACTATTGACATTGTAATGAACGTGGCTTAGTGTGAAGTGTATTACTTCGAAGCTGTCAAGGCTAACGTTATACGTTTACAAATAGGTAAAAGGTATTTTACTGATTTTATTTGATGATGACAGACTACCAAATATCCAAGTTTATTTTTGGCAGGCCCTGAACTTTAGTTAAAAACTTCCTGCAAAACATCTAGTGCTCCGGAAATGACACGACTTTATAATCAATTAAAAATAATACTGACCTTATAATAAAAAAACAATCATAAATTTCTTAGCTAGGACGACATAACTATTGAAGAGATATTCAAATTCGAATAATACAAGTGTGGTTTGATTTTTATTTGCAGTTTTAAATATTTTAAAAAGATGCTTTTTCGTAAAATTGGTCGCCTACATTTTAGCTTGTGGCGTTGCACTTTCCTTAACGATCTATAACTTAAATAATATGTACAATTAAATAAACATTTTTCTTCATTAAAACCTACCTTTTGCAACATGACTAAACAATGCATATAACAGATAATTAATTAAAATTATTTTTGTAATGTAATTAATCGTCATAGATTTTTTGCCTCTACCTAGTATAATAGTAACTAAGTTCTAGAACTTACTGAATCGTTCCACGAGTACGTAAACCGGCTTACGCTTTAGAAACAATGGCGCGTGAGCATTGATGTTAACAAAACCCAAACACATTTTGTTCAATAATGATGTAACGAATTAATCAAAAACAGACAAAACAAAAAGTTTTATTTGCTTTAAGTTGCTACTCCTGTATATTATGTATGTTTTCCTAGTCCATGCGTTCCCGAAAGGATCAATGCACTTTAAATCGAGGTTCACGTTAAATAATAATTATAAAGGAAAAAAGTATTATTTGTTGTAAAATATGTCTAGTACAGGATGTCGCACACAATGAAAATTTTAATCCAATAAAAAAGATGGACGGTGGGCTGTCAGACCGTGCGAGATGGCGTAGATGGCCGGCGTACGGCCAACGTTGTGTAACTTACATAATTACACAGTTTTATGAGATTAAATGCTTAGCTGGTAAGTATATTTACGACATTATACTACAGCTACGCTTTGTGTCAAGGTAATTAACATCAAAAATAATATTTTAAGACTCTGTACTTTTAACCACATTTTATAATGATAATAAAACATTGTATTATACATTGCTTTGTTGGTGACCTCATGATAATCGTGGTTGTTTTTATAAAAAAAAGTCTTATCGTGAATTCTTTTGTTTCAGTAGGTACTGGTAAACGATTAGCTCGCGTCTGCGCCTTACACGCGTATGAGTATAGCTTTTATGTTGAGCTGTGTGGTTAAGTAATAAAGATTGTTGTTTGAAATGAGCCGAGATAAAATCGAGCCACGATTTTAGCGTTTAGGTTTGTTACTTTTTTACCAAGTGACTTATAGTTGCGAGAACAGATGGTTTCGCGTGTAGAATATGCGCTTCGGTACTGGCTTGTGTTCGTGACACTTCCAGCGTTATCTTGAGAGGGTTTTTCAATAAATGAGCTCCAATGCTTCGTCATTGGTTGAAAATCCAAACGCATTATGTTTACTAACTAACATTTATTCAATTGTTACTTACATTAACAAAAATACCAGGGTAATATAAACTGTTAATACAGACGCCTTAATGTTATTAAACTATATAATCGCATTAGTTACTATGAGTAAAGCGTACGGTAGTATTTTCCTTTGTTCCTTCTCGATTACTAATTTTATCATCTTATATTTTTTCTGTACTGATTCGTCAGTTCGTTATCATATAACCGGTAACAGGCCGTCGAGGTTGCCAAGTAAATCTAATTGTTACAGAGCTCCACGTGTCGTCCGTTTGTCGTGTAACGAAGCGTCATAAAAATGTAGAGCGTACCGCCTCGTATTGGCGAGGTTATTGACATTCAGATAAAATTATATATCACACAACAAAGTGCGATATTTCTCTGAAGTTGCGCACCCTTCGTAAATAGGTCGACCTGTATCATAATATAGACCTAATATTGTCTAAATTTGACATCCGTTGGCATGTACCTACTTTTTCTATTTATATTTGGGTATAACATCTACGACCTTCCAATACAGATCGTTAATGTAGATCGTTTAACATCCCTCTATTAAATAATAACTCGTTTATGGTATTGACAAGCCACTCAGAAAAGTTTTAATGAAATGAGTTTTTATGTTACGACCGAATACGAAATTCCTTCGTACATCCCTGTTTTAGCAGCGTGTGGCTTTTTTTTAATTAACTCAAAAGGAATACAGTTTTATCGCTATGGGCTAGCTACGTTCGAGTAGGCTGTATAGGAAGTGTCTGAAGCCCATTAAAAATTTATTCTTATTTTAAGATTCACGTATCTTTGTTGAACCAACGGCAAAGAGTAGTAAAGGTTTAGGAAAAAGAAAATTCTTTAAAATATTTTCGTAATCAAAAGCTAAAGTCCCACGTTGATTTAAAGACTTACACAATTGCAAGTGCCAGTGTTATACAATTGCACATCCTTTTAATCTTTGAGAGAACGCGTTGCTTTACCGATGCGTTCGGAGCACGCCTTGTCACGTGCCGGTGCCGAGCCTCCCCCCTCTCGTTTGTTCATCCCTCTCTGTCTCGTCCGTAACCTGCCTCGCTTATCACTTTCAGAACAGGGGGCTATTAGTTCATACCCTTCCTCCTCCACTATCGTTGTGAGTGAACTAGTCCTCTCACTACTCTGTATTCAATTTATCGTAACGCTTTTGTTCGATACGAACCTTATCTTGTTATGTATAACATTGTGTGATACGCGTGAAAGTAAAGTATCGGGTATTAATGCCTTTACGGTTTTTACACGTGGAGAATTATTTTTATTACAGGCCCAACTCGATTTATATACCACCATTTTGCACTGTTTGTTCATCTATTTATACAAAATCTTGACTATCGTGTCATAGCTCATAAGAAAATTACTTTCGAAGGACCATGTAAAAATATGAACCATATAAAAAGAGTTTTCATGGAAAATAACTAATATATAATAAGTATTTGCAAAACGGATCTTAAAATATGAAATATGTATGTGTTGGATACAAAAACTATGTTTACTTAAACAACGAAAAATAATAATTCAAACTTTTTTCTCGGCTATTTATTTATTTAACGATCGGTCGGAATAAAATGAAAGTAAGGTAGTTATTAACTTTTTAATTTAATATTATGTACTTATTCGATCATCGATATAATAATACCAGTAGCCTGTGTTGTTATGACTGGAGAAACGATTTTGCTTACACGTGAGAGTGATCCACGTCGCGTCGTGGGAGACGGGTTAGCGTGTTTGTTGCCCGTAGCATCGCGCCCGCCATGCACAATTGTACCAGGCGAACATAACTCGACAGAAGCTTTACTTAAGTCGAGACTACTCGAGACCGCCATACGAATACGTGTACTCGTGTACCTAAACAGTACGATAAAACAATGTTTTCTGATTTGTTTTGCATGCAAAATTATAATATTGATAATATCTAACCCAGAAATATAAACTATTTTTTTACACTGCAAATGATTTAACGGTACTAATTAAATCTTCTAGAAACAAAATAAAATAGTTGTAGTGTTCAATGAAAATTTTTCCTATCCCTTTAGTTTATAAAATCTAGGTGTGACTAATAATGCTTGAAAAAAGTACCGTAACGTATAAATTATATCGCAGAATGTGTAAACCTATATCGATGTTAACTGAGGATAAACATGTTCATATTATAGATAAAATATCAAATTACGTCATCGCGTAGATATTTCTAGTTTTTTGTCCTTTTTACAAACAGCGAATTACAGTATCTGTTAAACCCCCCGTGGTATGAAGCGATTGACGCACGTAACACTTGCCCCTCTTCAGCCACTACCCACGCGTTCGTCATACCCTGGTACTCTGCTCTTGACAGCCAGTAAGCCTACATCATGTTTTTTCAATACATGTTTTGTTAGTTTCTAGAATGAAATGAAAATTAGTTACTGTGTTATAAAATAAAACATTTAAATATAAGGGAGGAAGATATTTTTATTTGTCCAAAATATTCAGTTACTCCTTAAAAAATCAGCGAACAATAGTCGCGTGGATTCGATAGACCACTTCTTGGTGGAAAGAGCGTGGATGGATAACAGAAATATAAAAAGGAGTTGTTTTTAGGGTTTATAGGATTACTTTGTTGTCCGTCTGTCTGTTAAGACCCTTTATCTCGGCAACGCGTGGAGGTATCGAGTTGAAATTAAAACCGTATACTCGGGTCTACAGTCCCTTGCAGCTGAGAAAAACAATCAAACTTCTAAGTTAACGTGGAAAAAGATATGGCCGTTTTCGGGACAAGATTTTTTAAATAATACACGATAAAGTAATATGAAGAAATAATATTTTTTATAAATAATATGTACAGTCTTAGAATATTGTTCTAAGTGTACAGTATTATGAAAAAAGTATACGCTGACAAGGTTAGCTAAGTAAGTAATAGGTCATCTAGGTATTACGCAGATTATTTAAGATAAAATTTTTAGAACGTTCCTCTTTTACAAATTAAATAAGTTTCCGCTTTGGTTCTTATTTGAATATTTTTTAATGAGATTTTCAAGTTCGTTCAATGCACGTTAGAGTGATTCTATTAAATATTTATTGCTTGATTTGTATACATTATGTTCTCTCTTCAGATGTTTCTTCTATTATTCGAATTATAAAATACGTTCCGTTCAATAATTGATAAGTAGATGATGTTTAGATGTTTAGTTAAACCATACATATGGGTTATAAAAATACCATCAAACCTTCAAGAAAAGAGTACTCCTTCCTAAAAGTCCGCAACGCGTTTGTGACTCCTGAATTTCAGGCGTTCATGGGCGTCGGTAGTCACTTTCTATCAGGTAACCCGTCTGCTCGTCTGCGTCCTCTTCTATACAAAAAAAAATTACGTAATACTTTTAAGTTTCTTTAAGCGTTTTGTTGGAACACGTGTAATTTTATTGTAAATATTTTATTCATCAGTTTTAATATTAGTACTTAATATTTATTTCAGTAAATATTTTAATAATTATCTTATTTTAATATTTGTAAACTTTGTATTTCATAACCATTTGTGAACTGTATTTTTTTAATAGAAAAATAATTATGTTTTTTAATGTTTTTATCTATTTATACTTTCGAAAATGAGGCATTAAGAACTAGATAATCATAAATTATAACATGTTTAAATATAAAAAGTTTGCTACAATATTTTAATAATCCTGTCTATGTCATGAACTGGATGCGAGAAGCCCAAAATCGATCTAAGTGGCGTGCAATGGGAGAGGCCTATGTCCAGCAGTGGACTGTGATGATGATATCATGTTAATTATTATAAGTAATTACCTTAAATTGTTTTATGTGACACAAGTCATCCGGAAGTCATTGATCAAGTTAAACCAAAAGCTGCTCTGTAAACTGAAAATGTTTGCCAGTCATGGGGGCAAGATCCTCTCCCAACTGCTAGGAAACTTTAACAATTCTAATTCATAAAGCGATTGTATAAATCGGTCAACCACACGCGTTTTATGTTTTCCTATTATTTACCTTGGAGCGTGTGACTAAGAAGTTTGGAAATTTGAATACTTTACCCCCGCTATAGCTGTGATCAACACTTACACAGTCATTTGTGTGTTGTTTTAGGGATAAGTATATCTTTCAGATTAGTATTTCTTGTATTCCTATATGCCCCTGGTAAAAATTCAGGTTATTCATGAGGTGTAAAAAAATAATTTAAAAGAACTTAGTTAAATTGGTGTTACCAATAAATCACATTTTATTTTTGAAAATAGTACCGCTTTTCTCTTAATTTGACTGCAATCATTATAAAATCTTAGTACTTCTATAAGACGTGTTATTCTTTCTGTGTCTTTCTGTATTTAGAATATAATACTAGAAATAACTATATTATTTAGCAAGATGCTAATAAAGTTTGATCTATCTACAATGGCTCTATAAACTAAGGCTATTTGTCTAAAGTCAAGGGTCAAGATCCGCGCCCACCTCTGATTATAAACTTAAACAATTGTAATTTATAATAAAGCGAATGTATGAATCGGTCAACCACACCTGTTTTATGTTTTCCTATTATTCCGTTTGGGTTTGTTTGAGCAATTTAATTTAATTTGTCAAATAAATAAGTAAACTAATTTATGAAGTTTTTTCAAACATATTTTCCACGTAACAGATAATGTGATAATTTAATATAATAATGAACGGTACCTATTCCATTCTCCTGACTAACCACAGTTCATAAAACATATTATTTTCCTCTTTAATCGAATAATGTTCTAATAACAACAAATGTCACACTTCAATTTAAATATTGATAGAATGGCTTGATGCCACGTAATTTCGATGGTGTAATTATGTTGTTGTTTTGGATAATTAAAATTACTTAAATCATTTTAATGTTGACATATTGGTTAGGATTATAACTACTTAAATTTGAATGTCTTTTGAAGCGACATTAGTATGGTCAGATTGCGGGGGTTATTAAGATAACGAATAGTTATCGGTCATGTCTAGAGCCATTGGATATTGAAAACGAGGATTTAGTTTGTTCGAATTAAAACGTAGTTGTTATGGAGTTGATAAATAAACGTTCGTTGTGTTGATAAGTTTCGGTGATAAATTGGAAGTTGTTGTTAGGTAACTAGTGTTTGCTTGTCGCACAAATGATAAAGATAACATTATCTGTACAAAATACTCGTGCCTTTATCTACAAAAAATACAAATTGCTCGATGGTGAACAAAAAACTTGTCTATATCTCGTCGTAGCAGACGCTAGTAATTTTACGGACCAGTTACGATGCGATGTTTTTTTCTGGCACCTCGCAAAGCAGCTGATTTTCGGCGTGGCAACTGTTAAAGCCAAACAAACCAAGAGCACGCGCTAAACCACATGTGTTGACGTAATCTTATCGTTTGAACACGCCCCTTACTCTGTCTCTTTCTAAACATGTAACTAATATCTCCCGTCTCACTCGCCACTGCAGCGTGACTGATTTTGCTTGCGTATGTTCAACTATGAGCTTTATCATCTGTACAGAGGGTTAACATTCGTCAGTTGTTTGTATTTAGTAAAAAGTCTAGATTGCGTCTCTCTCACTTCGATACGACTGTTTCAGTCTGTTTCATTAACGTAGCTGTAGCGAATGGCTGCTGGGTTATGTTCGCCTGGTAGTTTACCGCCACGGACTGCAGCCGTCGACGAGTGGTTGACACGCGTTTGACAAGGCAGTGTTGACCGATGTAGAATACATAGTTATAGCCCATTATCTTGTTTTTTTTTTGAAGAACGTTTGTAGAGAAATAGATAATAGAAGAGTAATCGGTTCATTCATTGTATATATCTATAATTTTAAGGAGTTGTTTTTATTTACAGAGGAGGAACCAAAGTCACCATTGTCAGTACGAGTGGTGACAGGACTGACGGGTCTACCGGTGACGACGCGCAGCAATGGCGTGGTTCGTCCAACGTCGCCGGTGCCGGTGGCGCTCCCCTGCGCCGCCGTACCTTCACCCGCGGCGTCTGCCGTTACGCTCGAACCGGTGCCTACGGCGGCTGCCCCTCCCCCTGCGCCACTTCTCGATTTCGCACAAGAACATTCCAGGCCGCGGACGACAAGTAACAGTCATGGGTATGTTCATGTTCTCCTAGTAATCGCGGTGTCCAAAACAGCTGGAGATTTGCAAGCCAACGGTTAGAAAGAAAATTGGCTATGTTTTATCTCTAAAGTGGAGTTAGTTTTTATGACTTGTGTTTTTATTATGATTAAATTACATAGTTATATAAAAAGTTTTAGTATGAATATTTTTATTATACCTTTAAATGAGCAATTCTTGTATATACATATGTATATATATATAATCTAAATGTCGCAAACGGCTCCAACGATTTTTGTGAAATTTAGTATGAAGTGGGTTTCGGGGGCAATTAATCGATCTAGCTAGGTTTCATTTTTGGAAAACTTACCAAAAAAAAAACCGAGCAAAGTTCGGTCATCCAGGTACTATAATTAATTTGATGACTCGAATCTCGTAGTAGAGTATAATAAAATAGCGTCGCCATCTTCATCTCATACGATATTGGGGTACTAGAAGGGCACAAAAAATACAAAATTTAATATATTCTTCAGGGTATTTCACTATTATACCTGTCAAATAAATGTCATGTACTAATAATGTCTATGTCTAACGTACTATGTACGCTACGCAAGTAACATTAGTTAAATAGCTGAATAATTATAGAATTAAAGCGAACAAAGAGTATCTTCTGCGCTCAACAGATATCTCAATTTAGTGCATTTATGCATGTATATAAAATTGTAAAGTATCCTTAAATGCAAAACTTTAGTACCTTTTTAACTATTCACTGTTGAATTAATTAAGAAGATCTTGAACATTCAAGTCATACAAATACAATAAAATGTATATAGGTCCTAATGGAAATTGTAATTTTACCCTTGCCTATCATCCTACAATGTTGTGTTCTCCTGGTACCTTGATGCTTTTATTTTTCACTGGATTGCTGTCAAGGTTTGGATATTAACAACCATGAATTGAATACATAATGCCTATAGATTGTATTCATCACGATGTTAAGGCCTTGTCAGGCTGATGCACATTTGTACGTGCGGTTCTAACGAAGGCTACAATATTGATGATTAGTGACAATATTAATTTGTATTGGCAAGTAATGAATAAGTAGATTACCTGGTACCAGGTAATATCATGTTGCGGTTAATTTAACAACAACACTTGAAATGCCTGATGATGACTCACGTCCACGTCACTAGTATTTTTTTATGAAAGCAAATAAGACTCATAATTCATTGTACTTCAATGAAAATCAGTAGTATATACATTTTTGAAACCACTTTGTTATTACTTCTAAACTAATTAATTAATATCAGTAAGTAAGTTTCAAATATATTACATATTTATCATCACTTATTTATCATCAGCATAATATTACATATTTTATTTTGGAAAGTACCTTGTAACTTAAGTTAGTTACATAGATATTTACTATCACTAACGCCATACTTAAAACTAATTTCGTATTTCATTAAATGTATCTTTAATTCTGTGCATAGTTTCAAAAGTAAATAAACGTTTTAGAACCCAATAATGCTGCTTTTACGTGTAAACGGTGACAAAAATTCAAATGTCAATTCAAAGTTATGACGTCATTTACAGTGTTTCACATTAACATTCGATCATACCAAATACTATTGTGTTATATGTTTGTATGCAGTTTGTTGTTTTAATGTTTTATAACATACTATGTTATTATTTAAAATGTGGTAAATTATGATTGAACTTCAACTACCAGGCAAACAGTTACAATGAAGAAGTATTTAGCAAACATGGACTATATTTAATAAAATTATTAGTAAGCCAGGTACAGCATGTCATAGCCACATAGCTCCGGCGATATCCATATTTATAATGATAGGTATAGTAGAATAAACCTGTTGGTTATGTCTGTATTAGTAGTGATGATAATATACAATTATATTATCAACATTGATACGACTTGTTGTTTTCTTGTTACCTTTTATTACATACAAAGTCATTACATTAATGTTGAACTTGACGCAGCATCATTCTATTTGAATGAGTTCCTAACTATCTGTAAGCGGAGAACTTAAATTATTTTTATTAAAACTGCGTTGCTTGCACTTATGCGAAGTCGGGAGGGGGGGAGGGGGTCATAGCCAGTTAGATAGCACTCCACGAAACTTTTATTTACAGAAATATCCATATTGTCTGCAGGCCACCTCAAATTCCATCCCCTCCATCAGTTAGCAATGGTAGCGGCAGTGGCAGCAGTATCAATGGGAATAGTAGTGGCAGTGGAGGAAGCAGTGGTAGTGCCCCTCGGGCTGGTACCAGGGAGGTCCACAACAAATTGGAGAAAAATCGCCGAGCACACTTAAAGGAGTGCTTTGAACTACTCAAGCGGCAACTTCCTGCCACACCAGAAGACAAGAAAACATCAAATCTATCTATTCTAGCCTCTGCTATTAGGTATATTCAGGTTAGTGTTCTTATATTTATGGTGCCCTATATTTATCTTATTTCGTGAGCCATTTTTTTTTCTATTTACTTATAGTATGGAGGTCTTACCTAGTATGGATATCCAGCAAATGTATCCGAAATACCGCTGTAATCTGTAACAACCTACACTAGGAGTGCAGAAGTACTTGGAAATAATAAGGTCCTCCTACATGGAATTTTAAATAATTATGCTGTCAATATTTTCTTTTTATATTGTTCTTTTATATGCTACCTTATTACTGACGCAGTAAAACAAATTAGGGCACTGTTAATTTCACGGTAAATACGTCAATGGTTTACGTTAATCGAGTCTCATTTCATAATTCAATTAAAATACGGCTTCCCATCTAACCGCAAAATTGTTACAAACTTACTAATGTTTCAATTTTTGAAAACAAAACTTTTAGGTTAATAAAGAAAGAAGTAACTTGATTAAACTCAGTAGGATTCGGTATTGTTTTCATCAAATCTATACTAATATTATAAAGCTGAAGAGTTTGTTTGTTTGTTTGTTTGTTTGTTTGTTTGAACGCGCTAATCTCAGGAACTACTGGTCCGATTTGAAAAATTCTTTCAGTGTTAGATAGCCCATTTATCGAAGAAGGCTATAGGCTATATATCATCACGCTAAGACCAATAGGAACGGAGCACCAATGAAGAATGTTTCAAAAACGGAGAAAATTTATTACTATTGAGAGACGCTGACGAAGTTGCGCGGGTCAGCTAGTTCTTCTATAACATTCTGATAAGTTTTACTTTTACTCTGAGAAATTACTATTAATTCTTTTTAAATAAATAAAAAACACAGTAGGTCGCATTAATATTGTGACGAATACTTAACGTTAGTAGTTAATAACACAGAATATTTTATGAAACTTACTACTACTATGAACTAATGGGCTCCTGGTACATTCTCCGCAGGTGCTTAGACGTAAGGAACGCGATTGCGAGCACGAGATGGAACGGCTAGCTCGCGAAAAGATCGCAGCGCAACAAAGGCTATCCGCCTTAAAAAGAGAGATCTCCGTCCGAGCTACTGTGCGTCCTCGGAGTATCGGTACGTTAACCTCCTACCGTGTACTGCGCTCCTGGTACATTTGGTCGAGATTATTTAATATTTGGTTTCGGCTATCAATCAAAATATCTTATTAAATATCATTTTAAATCATGTAAAATAATTATCTAAATTGATATAATAAATCATAGTAAGATTTGATCTAAGTGGTAGGTAGTTAGTAAATATCTTGTTTGGAGTTTTAATAGCGTTAAACAGTCTGAAACAACACTGAGTATCTATTATATTATGTAAGATCTAATATATAATTTTCATATTTATTTTCTTTTTATTTAGATTCTGTGTCCGAGGACAAAGACAGAGAAGATACTGTAAACGGCCAAGTTTTGGGAATCCCTTTGAGTGTAAGTGTTCTTATTGAGAAAATACTCGTAATTAATCACTGATAATATGTCTCAACTCATATTTATTTGTAATTTTTCTAATAAGCGTAAATTATCTTTACAGATATCAGCCTCCCCGCCCCGTTCCATTCCAAGAATGGAAACATCACCTCCCCGAACTTTAAATCTAAGCACGAAGTTACGTACGCTCCCTATTCAAATAACACCCACCACCTCGCAGGTATGTGATCTTAGTACTTCAGTAGAAATATCGGTATCCTAATCCGAGATTAGGATTTGTATGGTTATTATATGGAAAGTGTTTATGGAATTATTAGTTAATAGAGTAATTTATGATATTTTAGTTTAGTTGTAACTGAATTATGTTTTCAAAACACGTTAAAAGAACACAGGACAAGAAAAAAAGAAAAGACGTTACAACAAGACAACAAAATTAATTGATAATTCATCTCAAAATAATGTTTATGCAAATTTTCACTGTGTTATTAAATGTAAATAGGTATAGTAGGGCAAAACGGAGGTTTTCTAAGGACAGGCCTATGACCAGCAATGGACTGTGTGGTCAATAATGATAATAGTTTATTCATATAAAATGATATTCACGTAAATATAGCTTCAAATCGTAATATAAAATAAAGTAATAAACCATAAGAATAAGTATTAAATAGAATATAAATAAAAGTCTTGTAAATATGCTTACACATTGTAAAATATTAAGGTCTTGAGAAATATGTTTACAAATACGTATAGAAACAATTATATTGATTAATTAGAGCTGAATCAGTTATGTTTATAACACGTGGCGTACATAACTGATGGGTTACGTTGGCGCACGTTATTACGTCACAACGCCATAAATACATTTCTGTTTTCTTGAACGCGCTAAAATTAAACTTCGATTTGTCGACCGTGTTGTGCAGAAATGGTCCAATTTACAAACGTGCCAAAATTGAGGTATTGACGATAAACCATCAAGCGTGTTCGCTATTTATAATCTGAGATAGAGGGCGTATTTAACGGCCCACATTCTGCCGTTAAACGTTCAAAATTAACATACGTATAGATTGTGCTGATCACAAATAGTTGTCTTGGATGGGAATCCAACCCCATGACCTTTGGCTTCATCACAACTAGTTAATCAGTTTTATCACAATACAGAATATTTTATAAAATTGGCGTTCATAACTTGACAGCAGCTGGATGGTAACCACAAGATGGTAAACACAACAAATGATCGTGTTTCTCATACAATTATTTTTCCTGGGTAAAAAACCGTACCCACGACCTCCGGCTTAGCAATCAGAGTTACTAACCACTGGACTAACAGGCCCGCTATTATGTAAGCACATTATTCTAAAATGCAATCTACACACTAGGCCCTCTGTTCCAAAGAGGTATCGTTACAATGATTAGTGCTTAAGTTATTCAGATATTATATTATCATACCTCTTTATTTTATTAATACATTTTGTTTAATGATCTCAATAATTTTCCAGGTTGTCCGGACGTCGTACGGCACCAGACCTAACACGTTAACACTGACCACCCTGGCATCCGCCGACCATTCCACACAAGTTAGTATATTTTTTGTTTCTTATATATCAATTAATCTTAGAAACGAGGGAGTGAATTTAAAACACTAGCTGCGTCCCGATAATAAGCCAGGGTGACAGCTACCTCCATACCAAATTTAATCAGAATTCGTCCAGCCGTTTGAGCGTGTGGAAGTAACAAACGTATATAAACGTGAAGAGACTTGTTCCGCTTTTTAAGCAAATAACTCGCAATGTTAAAATTTAAAAAAAAATTGAAAAATTTAAACGAAAAAAGATATAAATAGCACACGTGCATTATTCTGACCAATAATTTAAAACAAATCATTGAATATTTAATAAATCATGGTCAAAATTCGACTACTAGACGACTTTTAAGTAAAAAGAACTGATATGGGATTAGTGTCTTTCAAATTGACTGCTTGGCTTGACTTGTTATGAATAACCACAATACAAGTATTAAAATGCCAAGTTTAAATCAAATTATAATAATGCTGATTTATCTGTGTAACCTAAAATAATTTGCAAATATTTTTGAATAAAGAATGATTTTTATGTACCTATTTATTAAATCAATTATAACTGTGTGGAGGAACGGGTGTCATGTCCCTCCAACACAAAGGGAGGATCCTCCGACCAGGCTCGGCGGGCCGCGGCCCAACGGTTGATGTGGGGAATTTGTATATATGCTAGCTAATCACGTTTGTCTTACACGTGCAATTAAAATATATTCTTTCTGCATTCTTTGAAGGTGACCCTCGGAACACGTCAGACCGATAAAACGTCATATTTGCCCTCAATGTCATTATTGCAAAATAAGCCATATGAATATGACATACGAGTACATTACAGAATATATCACGTGACGAGAGTCTATATTACTATTCTCTTTTTCACCAAGTTTCGCCTTTTGAAATTTTTCAAAAAGTCTCAAGTCTCCGGTCACCTTATAGTGCGACCTTTTTAATTGACTTCAAAAAAGAATTCAATTCGAATGTATTTTTCCTCAGAACTTCAACATTTATATAGCGGTTTGGGAAATTCTTTGCTATGATATATTTATATATATATATACCTATATATATGTGTATGTATATATATATGTGGGTGTATGTATGTGTATATATATATGTGTATAGTGTGTACTTGCATGTGTTATGTTGCGTGGTGTATATCTTAGTGATTAGTGTTATAACCTACATGCGCCTACCACTCACGATTTCTACACTACCTAAAGGTTGACTGGGAGAGAATGCCTTGGGCATTAAGTCCGCCGACGTACAAATGTGCATAAAGTTAATAAATAAGATATATATTATAAATAAATAAATAAGAATAGTACCCGTTTGGTCCCAATCAAATGTGAAGAGAAAATTTCATACTTGAGGTGGAAAATTAAGGAGTAAAGAACACAGTTTATTACAATTAATTAAAATGAAGTCGTTGTGATGTTGGTGATACTTTTTTAAATGTTAATTATACATTAATCGTCACTATTATACAGCAGTTGTTAAAATTATTAGTTTTTTATGTAGCAATCTAAGATATTATCAAGTCAATATTCTGTGTGATATTTGAAATGTGGGTTTAATAGATGATATTTTATTTAAAAAACCGTCCAAGTGCTTGTCGGGCTCGCGCACGAAGGGTTCCCGATCATCTATAAAACACCAAAAAAAACATGTCTGTTGTATGAGAGCCCCACTTAAATATTTATTCTATTTTGTTTTTAGTATTTGTTGTTATAGCGGCAACAGAAATACATCATCTGTGAAAATTTCAACTGTCTAACTATTACGGTTCAGCCTGGTGACAGACGGACAGACAGACAGACGGACGGACAGCGGAATCTTAGTAATAGGGTTCCGTTTTACCCTATGGGTATTCAGTACCCAAAGGGTAAATACAGATTAAGATAAACACAGAGATTTAATCAAAGTATTCTTTATTTTATAAATGATGACAGAAAAGCAAAAATAAGTTATTGTTAAAAAATTGAAATTAATTCTATGAATGATGTTCAAGCTTAGATTATGGCTTTTTGGTCCAATTTAGAAAAAAGCTGTGAACTGTGAATGTATTGCCTATACTTTTTTCTCGCGATTAAAAAGAAAACAATTGAACAACGAAATATCAGTAATATTTAAAATAGCAAAGGTCGATTTCTATGATTTTGATCAATGTTAAAGATTTCTTATCTCGATTTTTTTTTTTTTTTAAATAGTAAGTGCTTATTCCCCCGTTTCTTTCGTTCTTAGGGACGCGCCTCTTAATATCAATTAAATTAATATGCTATTATTCGAAATAGTTCTATTAAAATAAATGTAATACATATTAATATTGGCTTATCATTTCTCCGCGGTGTAATGAGTCGAAAATCAAAAATACAACTGCTTCTTCAATTTACTTTTAAAGAAGGATTTAATTTTTACTTACTTATATACATATATTTAACATCTAGACAAAGTGCTTTTACGGAAAGGGAGATAAAAAGATATATTTGATAGGATATGAAAATCTCCACTCATGTCTATCAGCAGTACCAGGATAACAGGAGTAGAGCAACACTTGCTAAATATATCTGTACAAATAGAAGCAACTGATACCCCAAGTATTTATAGACACCAACACCACCACCTCCCAAGGCTCCAAAATATTGTATAATTAAAAAAAAATGTGTTCGCTTTGTTTCAGATAGTGGAGAACGGTGTGACAAACCCTCTAAGCACTACGTTAGTACATCCAGCACAAATACATCTGCCCATTTCCCAGGTAAGCCAAACAGCTTCTCCTTTTTACCTTCAGCTTTTAGTGAGTGTGAGTGAGACCGCTCGGATCATGATGATGATGAGTGAGACCCCATTACTTAGCAATTATTTGATCCGTAAGATTCTCCTGAAAATCTTAAAGTTGTTTAAAGTCACATAAATTATTAAACTGGTCAAGTACAGCTGAAACTCTGACCAGTTTTATTAGAGAAGTGAAAAATCTCCAACGGACAGATATAAACAGTTTAATAAATATAAAATAATAAATATTTAATAAATATAAAAAAGTAAAGAAGTCGCCATGTAACTTCCTTTTTCCATCTTAGTAAACATTTTGCTTTTCTCATACAAAATATATGATATATATATAATAAATGAAAATATCAAAAAGGCATATAAAGGTGACGGATTAAGAATACAAATTGTCACTACCCCAATTCATCCCGTGGGTGTCGTAAGAGCCGACTAATGCCCGGTTTCTGAAGTTCCCGGTTATACTCTCATTAGTTATTGATACAATAAAGTTATGTATAGGATAAACGTCGGTTAACTGTCACTGCGTTTCTGAACAGGCAATGAACCGTTCAATAACTATCAAACAGATAAGCAGTTCCATAATCTGCCGTTAGATGGGTCTGTTTAAGAGATCAAGTTTAAAATTGGTTTTATTATTTTAATTCAGGATTATTACTAGCTTTATTTACGAGAATATTTTATTCAAGGGTAAATAAGTATTGTTTTAGTTATAAATTATTAAAATTAGCTATTTATCAGCGGATGAATGAACGACATCGTAGTCAATTTTTTTTTTAAATAAACGTCAAACTCATTGATGTCAAAAAAAAAGTTTCGTCTAGTTTCATCGTGGTATTATTTTTCTTTGCTTTTACCGTGGTCTTTGCTATCGTTTGTGCTTTATCTTTTCTTAAAAAATTGTGCCTTTACTTCTCTCAGGTCTTCATTTGGCATACGTATGTAACTCCTAGCTAGCTTTGCTATTTCCTTGCTCACTTTATAAACCACTCTTGACACAGTGGTTTTGTGAACGTTAATGTCATCACCAATGACTACTTGGAAAGTACCTGTAGCATAAAATCGTAATGCTATGAAGATTTGTTCCAACACAGACAATGTATATGTGCGATCCATAGCGGGAGCTAGATCAGGGCTGTTATTATCACTTAGGTGTATCACAGTGTTCTTGTCAAAGCGATGTCTTAATTTAAATTCTTCATCCGTAAACATTTCGAAAGGATTTATCCTACGTCTTAAGTTTCTAGGTACTGAAATATTAGAAATAAACTCCAATACTTCCAAATCAGACTCTGATGAGCTGCTCGTATTCATTACGTTAATTTTAATATTAAGTTTTCACTGACAATTCAATAATAACAGTTATAACCTTAAAGTTTATGTAATTTGCTTGAAGCAAAACGTCAAATAAAGTTATGAAATCGATAAACGGCACACATTGGTCAGTTAAGTTAACCTAAGTTTAAACGGAGTTTATCTTACATTGCGATGTTCAGAAACGCACTTTCTTAGGTTATCGAACCAATAGCGCTAATGAATAGATAAACTGCCGTTAAAAGATCCTCAGAAACCGGGCATAAGGGAGCAAACTAAGCAGGACAACAGCACTGCAAAGAGAAGGAAAACTTGAAACAAACCCTATACCAACCCGTCTGGCCAGCGTGGTATAGTAGGCCAAAACTTCCTTTCTAAGGAGAGGCCTATGTCCAGCAGTGGACTAGTATAGGCTGTTGATGATATATATGATACAATTTCATTTGTGCATAAAGTATCAAATAAATAGAATGGGTATGTCAATGTAATTTTATTACTTCTAAGTGAAAGCGCGTGACAAAAGTCACGAGTGGCTTGCGTCACCCACTGTTAAGTCAACATTATTATATATCTCATTCTTTCTTATGCAATTTGTACAGATGTGAAAAGTTATCCAAATCTGTAGATAATCCGCCAATGTTCAATATAAATGGGGTAAACATATTGATGTTTAATGAGTTTATAACCAACATTTTTAAGATATTTTATTAATATTGGTATTAAAATAATGACACAAACAGCGTCAAGTACAGCAGTTTACAATAATCAGGCTTTTCGACAAAATATTCACTGTTATCTACAAGTATTCTATTACATTCCTTGTATGGTAACTACAAAAATCATAGTAGGTCACTACTGTTATACATTACCAAGCTGCGTACCTTATTTTTAAACAGATTATTAATCTTACAGATGGTCAACGGCAGCGGGTTAGTTGTGGGTCCAGCGGCCTTGCAGTTATTATCTACCAGCAGCGGACTGAGAGTTGTACAAGCACCTGTACATACCAACGGTGAGTTATGAATCCCTTTCTTCTTCACTTTCATCTTAGTTCAAACAAAAATTAAAGGAAAAATAACTATTTATATCCTTATACTTGTTAAACATATACGTAACTATTTATCTATATTTTTGTCAGTATTTATCAGAGTAGGTTCAACAGGACACCCACCCTTTGTTGCATGTTACAAAATTGAAATATTGTTATAAACCTGTAATATCGTTCCTTCGGATGAAGGTGACCTAAGCAATTTCGTATGATTTATATCGTACTACAAAATTTGTGGTTTATTTAACACTAATACTTTTTTTAAAGGAGAATGTTTTCCCTATGCGCTTTTAAGTAGGCTTTTTAAAGGATAATCAGATTTTCCAAGAATTTGAGTTAGGTCACTTATATTCTGTATCTATATTGCTATAGCATTTGCAGATTAAATAAATATATTTATTTTACACGTGTTTCAATAATGTTTTGTTTGGTAGTCAGCTGGACGATATTGAGTGCCAAACTAGTCTGAATACAGTTATCATTACTGTAGTTATCAAGAAAGAAAATGTTCAGGTATAAATGTTGGCACCGATGTGGAAGTAACCGAGCCGAATATTATGTAGTATGGTATTTAAATAACATTATTTGTTAACAGGTGTAACCACTTCAGCGGAGAGCATCAGGATACCTAAAGAAAACGGAATCGTATCACCTAAGCCGGCTTCCACGACAGGTATGAATGAATTACGTTAACCTTTTTTTTTCGAATACTTAACTGCTAGGCAGCGTTTTTCAAATTCCAAGCGAACGAAGTCGCCTGTACCAGCTAGTATTACATCATCATCATCATAATTGCTAGCGATGGAAAACGAGAAAAATTAAAGTTTCATGATAATCCGTTTAAAAGTAGAAACAAACAAACAAAGGATCCCTTAGGGAAACAAATACTCTAAATCTATTTATAGCACGTATGTACATTCTAAGGATCAGTAGATAATTATTGAGATCACCTCTATAAATAACCTCACAAAAATAGACGACTATGGAAACGGCAATTTAACGGCAAAGATACTGGTATGTTGTGAAAAAGGCAGAAATAAAGTAGTGACGTTTACTAAATGACATTGATTTCTGTGTACACTATAAATCGTTAGCATCTCGAATAAGATATGCGTCCGATATCTTATACTTATTATGTTTCTGATGACGGTCATCTCTTACAGAGTAAATTACATTGTTCTACTAAATTCCCATAGTAAAATCTTAATTGAATTTTATTTGCAGATGGGAGTGTAATGGTGAGTGGTCTGACTCCATTGGTCGTTTCACAACCTGCGGCACATTTGCTCCAAACGCACACGCTCACACACAAGGTCAATACCACTTAGCATTTATATATGCCTAGTACTTGAAATTTTTTATACACCTAAGTTGGTTAAGAAGTGGCCCCATGAATGACAACATGATGATAAACACTAAAATGAAAAAATGACACCACCGATTAATACAATAAGCAGAAAAATATGCCAAAAAAGAAGATAATATTTAAGCTGAATAAGCTATTCTATAAAGCTTGTGGTAATATATTCTATATTTTTCAACGGCCATACTTTAAAAACAATGAAAGTATTTGAAGTTCATCCACTCAAAAGTCAGACTCTAATATTGTTGTGTGCTTAGTATTAGTAGTCTTTTTGTAGGGTGGAGGCACTGAGTCACTCGGTTGGCTATAGTTTTCTGATGTATGTACGTACGTTGTTATTTTTATAATCAGCCAGTTACACCACTACAACTTACTGACTTCTTGAAACCACATTCAAAACAAGTTTGTACGTTTATTGCAGATGGTGGAAACGCAAGTGGTAAAGGGGAGCGTGGCCCCTCTGACGGTGAGCGCGCAGTACCTCAGCGCCACGACGATCGTGAAGCCCGTGGTGGTGGTGTCGGCGGCGGGCCCGAGCCAGCCGCCCACGTGAGGGTTGCGGCGCGTCCTGCTCTAGCGCCGCGCCGCCCACGTGCGCACCCACCTGCAGAGCGTGTGCACGCGTTCTTCGTTCAAAAGCGGAAACTAAAACTCCAAGTTCGAAAATGGCCGCGGATTGCTCGTGACGAGAATTTGTTTAAATTTCGAGTGAAGAAGGTCTGGAGGAAAATAGGACTCCTTCTTCGCTCGGTCCGCGCCGGCGCTAGCCGGGTGAGCCAAACACTGCCAAAGTAATCGAGCAATAAATAAAATTATGATTATCTCTGTGCCTCACGATCGGCCACGGAGCGTGTCAGTGCGTTTGTTACCTCGCTTGAGTAGAACTATTCCTTGTGCGACGGGTGGACGGTGTGACGTGAGTGCCGTGCGAAAGAGATGGAACGCGAACGTCTTATGTTAAGACCGCGCGTATGTATAAAATGTATTTATGCGATGCCTACTGATAGTGGTTTTCCGAGACGGTGATAGCAAAGTGACAAAGTGATTGTTGAAGATGGACGTCGATGGATTTCAGCGTCGAGCCGCGAAATATTTTTTTAACAACTTTGTGATTGAACAATAACTTGGGTGGATGTAAAAATTATTTATTAACTTTTATTTATTGTTGAAAATCAATATATGAAGTGTAACATCAAGGAATGAACGGAGCGGTCGCCTCGAGTGGCAGAAAGTGTATGGTACATTTTTATATAATTTAGCTTAGCGAATGCGTTGTTATTCTGTCATGTAATCTCAGACTAAAAACAAAGGATTCAGGGCAAAACATTAAATCTAAAATCAATGTCACCTAATCTTTGATAATAAATTGAATTTTACTATTTAACCGTTATGTCAAATGAAGTGTGTAAACATTTGTTTTCAAATATGACAAACTTGGAATTATAGTTTAGTTGCTGGTATATAAATTAAAAGAAACATCTTTTCCTTTTGCGTTAGTGGATTACGCGGTACTGTTATTGCCCTTTTTTTTCGAATTAAAGTTTTTCCGATTGTAGACCGTCAGTATCAGTCAAATATTGTTGTGATTATAACTTTCTAGCCTTCGTTTTAATCTGAGTATAATGTATACAGCTTTAGGTTAATTTATTTACTGTAATTGACCCGCTCCTTTCGTTATTTAAAACTATAGGCCTCGGTTTTGAATAACACCTCGCTGTACATTGCTTGCTTATGTGACTTTAATTTCTTTCTACCAGCAATGTAAAGCGAAATCATTCACGCAACCGATTCTTAAAATGTTATTAAAATTGTCGGTCGGTCGGCTGTATAATTGTGATGACGGGTCGTACGTAAATTTTAAAAAATGTGATGACAGTTTATAAATAATAACAACTGATTTTTTTATTGTTTTAAGCGTGATGACCAGATGATATGTGACTCAGACTAGTTATGATGACAGATCGTACAAATCCGAGATCTAAGTGTGATGTGATGACAGGTGATATATTAACTAGCTCTAAGTGTGGTAACATCAGACTTCAATCTGTTTAACATATGATTCTGCATCCACCAATCAAACCGAGCTACTTTAGTAGTAATTTAGTTAATACTACGAAAACCCCAATTGCGTCATTTGCTAGATAAATTCAATATATAATATAAAGACCTCAAATAAAATATAGTTAGTGTAAAATGTACTTGTTATTTATATAGAATGTAACAAGAAATGGAGTTTATTTTTTCTATATCTGTGATGTGTGATGTACCGTAGTTATGGAAACTCTGTACAAAGAATTCTTAGGTGTTGTCAATTTATTACATTTGTATATGAAACTCATGAGGCATAAACAAAGGGAAGTTAGTATAGAGACTAAACCTTGATTCTCACCGAATTGCATGGCCATTGACTTAGCGAAATCTGCTCAGAGTTATGTATAGTTTCTCTTACAGATTTTCGTTTAACTATGTAAGTTAATAGAGAATTAATTCCCGCCGTGTATAATTCTGTATTGTTTGACCATTGAATGAATTTAAATGCTGTTTCGGTTTATAAAAGTACTGATTTGAAAAAGTAGGTACGGTATTATTTTATTTTTTGTAATTAGATTGTTTTTTCTAAATCATTATACAATCTAGAATCGTTCTAAAAACCATAGGTACATAGTTAATGTAACCATGCCTTCAGTACCTGTATTGTCTACTGCTCACCTGGAGTATCAAGGTTTTAACAATGTCTCTTACTTTATGCCTTCTGATCAATGTCAATAATTGATATATTGAAATAAAATTAGCTAATAATAAATAAATATGTGGCTTATATATGTCGCGTAATGCAATATGTAACACCTTTTGTGATAGAAGTGGGCATTGCACCAGGAGACCAGAAGTTTGGTAAAGGTTAGAGATGACAGATACATTGTTGTCCTGCTCAAACGTTATGTTTAACTATGTCGACAGAGTGAAGTCGCGCTGTTTTGTTATTTTATGCTGAACTTGGTCTCCTATAGGTGCGCGGGTCTCGGGCCGTCCTCACTGTGTGCCTACTAACTGAAGTAAGGAACTTGTTATAGACTTGTCAACGCAAAGTGGACTTATGAGTCGGTGTTACTGTATATTCTAAATTCAATTTAATTCTGCTATCTTATTTTGAGCTTGTAACTTATATCGTCTTAGTGGTTTTGTTGAATATGTTTTATTATTCACTCACCGTTTCTAATTTTTCTAGAAATATTTACTTTTTGGTAGATTATTTACCTTTTGGTGTTGAGTTACGAAATAGTAGTTTTAAACCTTGTGATTCGTGAACATTATAATAGTGGATAAACCGTTCTTAATCTCGTGTATGTTTAAAAGATAAAACTTCTCATACTACCATGTAATTATAAAAAAAAAACAATCGAGTTGTGGCATGTTATTAACTACTTTATTTTAGACTGATTGAGTCTTGAAACTTGCAAACTCTTGAAATCTTTAAATTTAATTTAATTGCAACAGAACACTTAAAAAATTTACTAACAATCTTTATTTTTAAATAAATAACTAGAGATATAACGTGTCCAATTAAACCTGCTTAAAGCCTATCCACAATTATCTAAGATATCGCCTTAAATATATATATATAAAAAAACTAAAAATTAAGATTTCCTTATTTTTTATAGTCACTAAAAAGCACCCGCTTATTAACAGTAAAAATGGCATCTTAATCCGTTTATTATAAAGCTGACAATAAAAAAACCATTACTACTATTTCGGACAGTGTAAAAGACACGTTATCACGAATCGAGCTTTAATAAATACCCTATTATACAGATATAGTGCAATATCAAAATTTGATGTAAGTACATATTATATTTATTCAAAATTATTTAAGATAAACTTTTTACTTAATACAATTTAAATTATTGTGGACTCCTTGTTTATATTTAAAAAAAAACTTGGTTGAAGTTAAACTTCTTCTATGTTGTGGGATATTTAAAAAATATATAATATTAAAAATATCCGTTTCAGAAAAAGTTAATAGGATTAAGTTATTTAAGAACAGTCAAAACCGCAAACAGACAATGGGAATGAAAAATACTTAAAAATTTAAAAAAATATTATTTTTGTAAATAAAAGGGCAGGGAAAGACCTGATAAATTTAAGTTTACATAACTATGCAATACTACTATAGGGATGCTATGTAAATTACCAAAAAAATTATTTAAAAAAATATAATTTATGTTTATATACCTAAAGTTTACGCTAGAATTTCGCAGCAAAAATATAAAAAAAAATGTGCAATACAAATCGGGACTAGTTGAAATAAACAAAAATTAAAAAAAAAAAGTTTAGCATAAACAAATGAGTTATATTTTTATAATAAAGTTTACAGCGAAGGAGGTTTTGTCTGTCTTGTTGCTTTGTTTACATTCCCTTATCATCATCAGACAGAATGCAAAAAAAAAAATGTACGAGTAAAGTGGTGTCCATGATAATTTAAATTTTTAAGTACTTATCTTAGCTAGCTTTGGAGAATAAATTGATACTGAGTTTATAACATATTAAAATGTTCCTCCAGTTTTGTATTTATTGTGCGAATTACTTTAATATTTTTATATAAGTATCTGACGAAAAAGAATCATTATGTTGGACAAAAAAAACATGTGGCGACATACAATAACGATATTTTCAATCATATTCAATATCTCTTATTTGTTAAAATACTAGGAATGTAGAAGATATGAGACAATATTTCAACAATTAAAAAAATTACACGTTTTTTTGGCGCGATTTTTTTTAACACTACATGAGTAAAAGAAAACAAAATCAAGGCTAATTATTTTCCATAGTGAAATATACCATAAATAATATAATTCATAAATTATTCAGTTGAATTAATTTCTTTTAGTAAATATAAATAATCCGTAGAAATATTTTTAAATTGTGGAGAAATTGTTATATGATTGGCTGTGATGTTCTTATTTTTGATACAATACTTAGATGCCACGTTGAATCCAATGTATTACAAATTAAAAATAAAATTTTCTGTATTCATCACATTACCTCCTATTTTTCATAAGTTTGTTTTTTTTTTCTTTGTATACGTATAGCGTATGCCTTAAGCGCTTTTATGTCGCTCAAGGTATCGAGGATCCGCTCCTATTTATATTTTATCTATAAATATTTAAAAAAAGAACAGTATTTTTTTCTAATGCTTTTTCATACGCGAGGAGTTTTGTCACTTTGCCTAAGAATAGGTGAATAAAAGAAATGTATAAATAATATAAATAAAGAGAGAAAAATATTTTAATTGTAATAATATTGTGAAGCGATAATGCTCATGTAAATAATAGTAGTGTATAAAACTAATATGTTAGAAATACACAGGAAATTACATATAAAATGTGTTGTTTTAATGTTTCCCTTGTTTTATGGTCCGTTATCGCCGCGAAAGTTGCCTTTTATATGCAACTTGAGTTTGTTTTTGACAATTGGCTGGTGTATGAACACTATCTCTTATCAAGGGAAGTGATGACGCGATGTAGAATGAGGTTCACCGATAAGAGAACAAAT